GGGGGTGCTACCTCTGGAGGGGTTGGAGTTGAAGCTGAAAGTGTGCTTCGACAAGGTTTTGGTGCCGGGGGTGCTGGCGTTGGAGCTGAGCCCAAGCTTGTAGAAGGTTCTAGTCTTCAAAGAGCTGGTGTTAGTCGCGCTGTCCCTGTGGGTACTACGTCTGGGGGCGCGCCTTCTTCTGACCTGGAGAGCCTGGGACGGACCCTATTAAACTTGATGTTGTAGTGCGACTGGTTCTTTGGAGGGCAGTCCTGGGGCTACCACCGCTACGGACACTACTCCCCCCCCCACCCCTACCCGACCCGGCACCAGGCTCGTGTTCGTCGTGCCCATGAGGAGCAGATGGAGTTGGAGCGGCAGCAGCTGGAGCTACGGCGGCTGGAGGAGCAGCAGCAGCGGCAGTAGTAGCAGCAGTCGGAGCAAGAGCAGCCACAGCAGCAGCCGCATCAGCAGCCACCGCAGCTGGAGGAGCGGTGGTCGCAGCCGCAGCAGGAGTAGCAGCAGCAGCCGCCGCCTCCTCCTGTCTCTGGTCTTCGGACCCTCGGTCTCCCCTCTCCTTCTCCTCCCCCCCCCCCCCTCTCCTCCCGTCTCTGGTACTCCGCTTCCTCCTCCTGACCCCTCCCCGACTGTTTTCCCTCCTTCTCTGCCTTCGTTATCCCCTCCTCTTTCTCACGCTTGGCCTTCGCGTCGCTCTCCTCGTTCTCGTCCCTCGTCCCCTGTTGCCTTCACTGACCTTCATACTGCCCTGTTTCGTTCTAGTCCGCCTCTTTCGTCTCCTTCTGTACTCCCTTCTCCTCTTGAGTCGGCTCTCAATGCTTCCCTCCTACTCCTGTCACCGACTATTACCGCACGTACCGTCTTGTTCTCTCTCGTGTTCTCACCTCTCTTGTTACCGACCCACATGCTTCTCTAACCTCTATCTCCGCTCTTACTGCCGATGTCACTGTGCTTGCCTCTACTCGTCACTTTGACTACGCCACTAGTCTTGTGGCTGCTCCTCCTACCAGTCCTCTGGCCGTCAGGGGTGAGTCCGCCCTTGGCTGTGACGCCCTAGAGGACACGCAATTTGAGCTAGAGTTCCTGGCAGCCGCTTCCCCTCATCTATGTGCCATGTTGCTTGCCCCTGAGGGAGACCCCGGCGCCCTTGATATACCAACTCATCGCACTTACGCTGAGGCAGTGTCAGGGCCTTGGGCCTCTTACTAGAGAGCTGCCATGGACTCATATATGGCCTCCTACGGCGTGCCTTCTTCTGGCCTGGAGAGCCTTCTACTACCTTTGCCTGCAGATTACCAGGGACAGAGCCGCTCGCAACATTACACTCTCACAGTCACACATGGTGCAGCAGGTCCTTCAGCGGTTCGAGCTTCAGCACTGTATAGTACAGCGCACACCTCTTGCTGTTGATTCTCCTTTGTCGAGAGCCGCGACTCGAGAGCAGAGTGAAGCACATCACCGTCAGGTACTTTTTTCTGCGAGAGTTGCAGAGGCGTAGGCAGGCTCTCTTCGACTTTGTGGAGTCCGAGGCCAACACCGCAGACATATTCACCATTGCACTTCCGCCTTGTAACCACTACAGGTGTTTTGTACAACTAGGTCTCATAGACACAGGTTCTCGCCTTACGTAGTCTTGAGTTCTCTGCTTGCTTTGTTTGTACACTTTATATATACCTCTGTGAACTCTTGGACTGGCCTTGTGGCTCTTTTGGTTGTCCTCAGAGTATGTCTCTTATGGGGTACATTAGTTATAGTCATGTACCCCAACCAACCTTAGTCAACACATCCTTCTGTTCTTGACAATGGGGGTTGGGTTGGGGTGATTGTGCCCTATAGTGTTTCACTTGGTGTGTTGTTATTTTTGTGTGCGCATGCGTTTTGAAATGTAGGAGTTTTTTCTGTAGATTCCACCCGAAGTTAATTATTAAGAAAGCTTAGTTATTTTCTTACAATTGCAGAATATCAAGGAGATATATGAACGCAAATTGTGATTCTCCATAACCTGAGAGTGTAGACAAGTGCTGTTTAAAGTGTAGGCGTATGTGTATAATCATTCCATTTGTGTAAAAATCCTTGGACTATTATCCTATCGTAAAGCATAGAACTGCACGTATTTAGGTGGAGGTTATTCTACTATCGAGCCTCTGCACAGCGGGCACATCAGTGAGCGATTTCCCCAAGGTTGAATTGGACAACCACGAACAACACGTCCAGCATGGCTGCACTGCCCATCCCAGCGGTGCTACTGAGGAGGTTGATGCGAACTAGGGGCGTACTGTCGCCAATTGTCGTAGAGAGTTACTGTTCTATTGCACCCTCCCTTGGTGCCAGCGATGCCTGACATTGAATGAAACCCCAAGACTGGCTCCCAGTCACTATTCTAGTGCTCTTTATTTGCAGTAGGCGTTCGCGTGTCTGTTCGTTGTCTCCACGCTCCCGTTTGAGCTGCCAGTTTTGCTACCCTTCGTCGAATAATCGGGCCATGGCGAAGCTTTTCACGGCTCTCTGCGTGATTGCTGTTGCTTCCGCACTTTTAGTGTTGGGATGCCACGCTCGGCCGCTTTCGTCGTCCTGTGCGTACATCGACCTAGTCCTTTTGCTGCCTTCCGCTATTTATTTTGTGCATGTTTCAGCACCCGCAGCACGTACCTCTAAACGTGCTTCTATTTTCCTGACGACGCTGTTTCTTCCACCGTTTCCCGTTCCCATCAGCTGATGTGACTGAATCGGGTGGTCCTCTGGACCAGCTGTGTCCGGCGTGCATGTCGGCGGTGCTTCAGGCGCACATGGTTCTGTCGGCTCCTGACACCGCGGCGGACCTCATCGACGTCGTCGAAACGTACGCGTGCTCGCAGCTCGACACGGAGAAGGAAGCCAAGGTGAGCCACGCGTTTTCTGCGACGCTGGAGTTACCAATATTTTTCTGGGACGCGTCAAAACTCGCGTTCGCAGCTCGACACGGAGAAGGAAGCCAAGGTAAGTCGACTAGCCTTTCTCCGACGCGTGGATTTTAGAAATTAGCTGAAAAGATGAGCGGGCATTTTTTTTTGTTTTTTGTTTTTTTGCACAGGAATAATTTAGAGAGTGGGATCAATACTTGGTAGGCTTGTCCTGGAAATCAAAGGTAGACACGTCGTGCTTTACAACGCATGCGTCCAAGGGATTGTGTTTCCCACTTCGTCTGATTCCGCCTCATTTGACGTTCCTTAGCCTTGTTCGGTTCCCTGGATTAGTCATCCCATGCATCTCTTTTCATACTCGTTTTTTTTCTTCTTGCCCTTTCTCAGTGCGACGCGCTCGTGGAGCAATACGTGCCGCTGGTCATTGCTGAGATGGATAACGAAATCACCGTCGACAAAGTCTGTGTGCGGTTCCATATCTGCCCACCGAGTCCTGATGAGCCAAATTCAGCCGTCGATCTGACCCCAGCAACTCCAAAAGACATCCTGGCGTACACCATCCAGGAGGCGCTTCTGGGGGAGGCTGTATCTGACCCCGATGACGTGGCAGGTGCAGCGGATGTTGTTGGCGAGGTGGCTGCTGTGGATGATCAGAATGTGCTGCAAAACCGGGAGGACTGTGTGGCGTGTCTCATGATGGTGCGGGTGATCAGGAAGAGGCTGTCAGACCCCAAGATGCAGGTGATTTGCCTGAAAGCATAAGAGCGTTGGGTGGGCAGGGGGAAGGACTGAGATGGGTGGGGTGCAGTATGGGGAAGAGTTAGGAAGGAGCAATGACCACTGTGTGTGTGTGCATGTGTGTGCTTGGTTGAAATTTGACTTTTGAGCTCTGTCTTGACTCTGTCCCCTCATCCTCACCAGGCACACATCATGGACTTCGTTATTGGAAGGTGCAACAAGCTGGCCAATGAGAGTCTCACAGCTGAGGTAAGTCCATACTCAGTCCAGCACATCTTGTCAGCTACCTTACTTTCGCTCTCCAGCCCATTGGTCCTGGTTCATCAATTGTTATCAACTTGTACGTCCTCCTGCCTCACTGTGTTTCCCACAGTGCATCAGCGCAGCCCAGGACATCCTGCCGGTTATTTTGGAGGAGCTGCCCAAGGTGCTGGACCCCAAGAAGGTTTGCAAGAAGTCTGGCCTGTGTTCCTCGCTTGCCCTGGTTGAGGGTATGGTGGTTGCTGGACACATTGATGAGGACGCCAAGCTTCCGCTGCTGCTTCAGCTGCCTTCAGAAATGAACTAGTGCAGAGCGGATGTCATTTTGTCAAGACGGATCATGTATAGGTGGTAAAGAGTTGCTTGCCAGGGCAAATTGGTTGATCCAACTTAACTGGGTACCGACAGCTGAAGCTGAGTTAGACCAGCCTCAGTTCTGAATGTACAGTCAGTAATCTGAGTGCTTTAGGAATTGGATACCTTAGTTTTTTTGTAACTGTTTAATGGCAGCTTTCCCTCCTGGGTTTTTGCAGGAATAGTGTTATGTAAGTTCCTGCATTTCCCATGCCACTTGAATTTCCACGTCTCATTTTTGCCGATATACTGGTAGGCTAAGCTAATCGTCACTGGTTCGTGTATCGATATTCTCACTTCGGGTATCTGGGTCCCGCCAATTTTTCTGCGTTCAAACTTTCAAATTGACGCCTCGGCTGAATATTTTTGAGCGTGTGACCACAAATGTTTTCATCCAACCGAAACTCAAGAGCAACACCCCTTTCTCGGATCTGCTCTGCAGATCGTGCCCGGCAAATATCTGGCTTCATACTGGAGTCGAATGCTGTACGGGCTGGGCATCACAAAAAGGATGGAGTGGAGACAGAATCGAGGAACAAAAACAAAACCCAGGTCTCCTCGTCAGCTCCAAGCTGCTGTGTGACCTTTGGGATGATCACCTGACTCTCTTCCGATTCTGTCTGGCACCTGCTCACCTTCTGACCACCGTAGTCTGTCTGGTCTCCAGCCATTATTCAGTCCTGAACCCGGGTTAAGTCGACGCGTACGCTTACCGTTTCGATTAGCATTTACAAGTGTTGTGCTGTCGAAATGGTGGGAAAACGGAGTTCAGCAGCCACGACGGCGGCGTCACCTGCTCGGCAGGTGAGACGATGAAGCTGGCAGTTGGGTCACGAAAGCTTGGATGTGCACTTGCAAATGTAGATGAATGCACAAATTAGAAATGTTTTCCGAGGTCACCAATAGTTGCTGTTTGTTCAGGCAGAGTTTGCAGAAAACAAGGAATGTAGTACCATGCGGCCCTTGGAAGTGTTTTCTCTGATGCTATGCTGACAGGTATATCGCTCTTCAAATGCACTATAACAATCATCGTCAGTGGACAGTAGCTAAAGCTGGTCAAGCGGAGGTCGTCGGGAGGGATACAAAACGCGTGTGATTAGTATACTTTTTGAGTCGACTCAAAGAGATGTCTGTGGACAGTGACTAACGCTGCTCAGGTGGAGGTCGTCGGAGTTGAGGGATACGTAAGGGAAATACAGCCTCTATGGCTGCACGAAGCGTTCTTTACAATGACTCTGTACGGCTTCACGAACTGCTGCATAATGCGTCGCGACTCGCACGCAATCGGATCTAGCGACTACTGGATTGATGTAGTCCCGACTTAGACTGCATCGCGGTTTGATACATTCCTGAAAGAAAAGGAACCTTATTTTGTAGTCTTAAGAATTCCCTTGCGATATGTGTCCTGACTCATGAATCCCCACAGAGGCCTCCAAGGCGTTCCGCAGCTCGTGCTCCTCCAAACGGAGCTGCTTCCTCCTCTCCTGCCTCCGCTTCTGCGCGTTCCCCTGCTTCTTCGTCAAAGAGAAAGCCGAGGAGAAGGGTCGACAAGGACGAAGAGGCCCGGATGGAAGCTAACAAGAAGGCTTCAAATCTGAGGAAAACGGCGGACGAGGAGGTGGACGAGGTGGAGGAGGTGGATGGGGCGGACGAAGAGGAGGTGGCGGTGGTGAAAGGGAAGAGGAAGGCAAAAGCGAAGGAAGTGGAGGAGGAGGAAGAGGAGCAGGAGGAGCAGGAGAGTGAGGATGCGTCCGTGGACGAGAAGGACGTGATTCCGAAGCGGGAGGCGAACGCACGGTGGCCAAAGCGGTGCAAGGAGGTGAAGGGAGTCAAGCACTACTCGGCAGTCACCATGGACGGTCACCTGTACAAGCTCGGCGACGATGTTACTGTGCAGGTGCGTGTGGCAGAGTCGAGCTTTGGCAACCACCTCTCAGTTTTTATTCACTGCATACCAGCAAACTTTCTCAGCGGGTATTCAGGTTCTTCTGACCTCTGAGCTTCTCCTAATCCGTCTTTGAGAGCCGCCTGACATCCGATCTTGACTCCCCACTAGAAAAGAAAATATATTTCTTATCCAACCCGAGTGTCTTATTTGAGGGTAGGGCGAGCCCAAGCGTTGATACGGTACAGGAAGTTATCAGGCCTGTCAAGGGATACATACATATATATACATATATATATATACTTAAATTAAGCCAACTCACAAGTGTATCTTTCCATTCTACCCGTGTGTTGTTGTGGTGACAGGGCGAGCCCAACGGTCATGACTTCATGGGTACGATCAAGGAGATATTCAAGCCCGCCAAGGGAGAAGTGTCATGCTTATTACGCTGGTACTTCCGGTACAGCGATACGGTGAGTGCTCTCATGCTGATTCTGCTGAGATGAGAGTGCGCTGACTGCCAATGCTTCTTTCAGCTCTCAAACATGTGGAACAAGTTGCTCCTAGTCCCTTCCTTCTCAACACGGCGGGTGCTCTGATGCCAAATCTGCTGCACCACCAGTGTGAACGCTCTGACTGCCAGCGCTCCTCATCAGACCTGTCCCACTCCCCTCCCCCTTCCCTTCCTCCTTCCCCCTCCTCTCGTCTCCCCTTCCCCTTCCTCGTTCTCTTCTCCCCCTCTCCCTCCCCTTCACGCTGCTCCGGCCTCCCCCCTACCAGGCCATGGGGGCGTTGGGGGACGGCATTGTGGATCCGCGCTTGTGCTTCTGGTCGCGGGAGACTGACGACAACCCTGCCAGCTGCATCACAGGGAGGGTCAGAGTCAAGCGAGTCAAACCTCCGGTACGATGAACCTAGACACGCCCTTACGGGGGGCGCTGGGAGCGGTATTGTGAGTCAGCACGTTTGTGTGCTTCTGGTACGATAAACCCGTGCATGTGCTCTCAATTATTTCCCCTTGAGCACCACATGTACCACCCATCATACCAGTAGACACAAACCACATGTACCACCCATCATACCAGTAGACACAGACCACGTGTACCACCACATCTACTTCAGTAAGAGCCTATGGAGCCGTTGAATATACCAGCAGATGCGGACTACATGTATTACCACATGTACTCCTACGAATTTGCCTCCTTTGACTTCTCTTCCGAGCCCTCTCCCTCTACCTTGTGTTTCTGCGCCCACACATCAGTCGGGCCCCAAGGAGCCGCTGGACATACCAGGAGACGTGGACTTCGTGTACCACTACATGTACTCTTATGACTTCGCCTCCTTCTCCGACATTCCCAATGATGAGTGTACGTGTGACTCGCTCACGCCTTCAAGTTTTGAGACCTCTCAAAACTCGTACGACTTTGCCTCCTTCTCCGACATTCCCAGTGACGAATGTACATGTGACTCGCTTGTGGCATTCTGAAGGTCAAAGCGTCAATCACCTGTGGTGTATTCTGAAGGTCAAAGCGTCAATCACCTGTGGTGTATTCTGAAGGTCAAAGCGTCAATCACCTGTGGTGTATTCTGAAGGTCAAAGCGTCAATCACCTGTGGTGTATTCTGAAGGTCAAAGCGTCAATCACCTGTGGTGTATTCTGAAGGTCAAAGCGTCAATCACCTGTGGTGTATTCTGAAGGTCAAAGCGTCAATCACCTGTGGTGTATTCTGAAGGTCAAAGCGTCAATCACCTGTGGTGTTTTCTACAGGTCAAAGCGTCAATCACCTGTGGTGTACTCTGAAGGTCAAAGCGTCAATCACCTGTGGTGTATTCTGAAGGTCAAAGCGTCAATCACCTGTGGTGTTTTCTGACGGTCAAAGTGTGACCAACCTGTGGTTAGTTTTGTGAGTCAAACCGTCCACTTCCTGTAAGGCTGTGATTATGCTGGCAAGGGTGACTATGAGAAAGTACAAATCTGTGTCTTTATCGTGTGTTTGTGTGCGCTCCTTCCAACTCCCCACAGGCGAGCAAAAGCTGGACTGCCTCCCGGACCCGCCGGCCGTCCACCCACCTGGATCAAACGGGGTGAATGGAACGGAAGAGAGCGAGAAACACGAGGTGGCAAGGAAGGCCGAGTGCAATGGAATGCATGGGGGAGATGGAGGAGAGAAGGCCGTGCAGAGCAAGGAGGAGGAGGGGGCTACTGGGAAGGATGAGAGTGGCCTGGGAGATGAGTGTGTTGATGCAGAAGGGGGAGGAGGGAGAAGTGAAGGTGAAGCCAAGGTGGAAGAGGGGGGTGGAGGGGATGTTGGAGTGAGTGTGAAAACGGGGGAAGGGCAGGGCGAAGGCGAGGGTGAGGGCGGTAAGAAGCTAGGAGGAGGTGAGGTGGAGGGCAGAAAGGGACAAGGGGGAGGCGAAGGGGCGTGTGGTATAAAAAAGACTGCTGAAGGATCAGGGGGGATGAATGAGCTTGTGGAGCTGGAAGATAAGAAGGCAGATGGGAAGACAGAAGGCACAGCGGTGGAAGGTGTAAAGGTGGAGAGTGGTGGGGCAGTGGGGGGTGTGAGTGAGGTGGGAGTTGATAATCAGGAGCAGGGCGAGGAAGGAAAGGGGGAAAATGGGAAGGGAGAGAAAGGAAAAGGGGAAAGTGGAAAGGGAAACGAAGGGAAGGAGGTGGAAGGGAAGGCAGGTGTGAAGGTTGAAGATCCTGCAGTAGGCAGTATGAATGTGGAGAATGGGGGGCCATTGAATGATGCTGGTGAGACGGGAGATAATCAGAAAAAGCGCGAAAAATTGCAGGGAGAAAATGGGAAGGGAGAGGACGGAAAGAAAGAGGAAGGCCAAGAAGGTATGAAGGTGGAGAGTGGTGGGGCAGTTGAGGGTGCGGGTGGGGTGGGAGATCAGGAGAAGGACGAAGAAGGGAAGCAAGAAGAAGGCACAGGTGAGGAAGGAAAGGGACAGGAAGGAAAGGGAGAGGAAGGAAAGGGAGAGAAAGGGAGGAAGGAAGGAAGCGAGGGGAACAAGAAGGAAGAGGACGGGAAGGAGGACCAAGGAGAGAAGACGAGCAAAGCTGCATCGGCCGGCAAGAAGGGGCGGCTTTCGGGAGGCGGGGCTCGGGCTGCTGCCGCCCCTGCTACAGTGACTCTGCCGCCCCAGACCATGCGTCTGAGGATGCTGGACATGTACAGTGGCTGCGGTGCCATGTCGACGGGGATTGAGATGGGTGGCACTCCCAGAGGCGTCACCATTGACACTGTGAGTTTTGAGCCAGCTCAAAAGGCTTCTGCTGCAGATCATGCCTCCGACCAGGTGCAGTACCATGGGAACCAGTGAACTAGCCGTCAAACACTGATGTTAATTTGATCTATTTACGTTAGCCCATCTCATGCCGCTACTGCCGCTCTGCCATGTTTCTCAAACGAGCTCATCTCCTGACGACATTGCTGTTATTGCTGTAAATTCCGTGGCCGCCGTGACTGTGCTTGCTCTTTGTGATGCAGTGCTGGTCCGTGGACTTCAACGCAGCTGCATGCGAGAGCATGAAGTACAACCACCCGCTCTGCCAGGTGCGTACAGCCGTGCACGTTGGCACGTGAATTCAACCACCCACACTGCAAGGAGCGACTAGTTGGTGAAACAGTAAAGCTCGTGCAACCATCCGCACTGCCAGGTCCAACCACCTATATTCTCTGTAGTGCAAAGCGGATAAAGCTTTGCTGCTGAAATAGCCGCTATTCCTGCTGGGCTGGTCTCAAGGCACCCAAACGATGCACTCCCATAAGTTCCCCTCTCGGCTAACGCCTTTCTTCCTCCCCCCCCTCTCCCTTTCCCCCCCCTTCCCTCCCGCCTCCCACTCAGGTTCGCAATGAGACTGCAGATGAGTTCCTGGCGATTCTGAAAGAGCTGCCATTCCTGACGCTCTAGTTCTGATGGGCCGCCAGCATTACTTCCTTTGCTCGCCCCTCCCTTCTCTCTCCTCTCTTATCTCCTCTCACTCAGGTGCGCAATGAGACTGCAGACGAGTTCCTGGCGATTCTGAAAGAGCTGCCGACCCTGCTGGAGCGTTATGCTGTGTCCTCCGGTGAAAACGGTGTGTCTACAGCAGCAGCGGCAGCAGCAGTGTTCATGGATGCGGATGGTGAGAAGGGCGGCAAGGCTGTTGCTCACAAACACAAGGTCGTGCACCACTCACACCACCAGCACCAGGAGGAGAAGCAGCAGCACCAGGAGCAAGATCAGGAGCAGGGAGGTGAAGGGTCAAAGGCGAAGGTGGAAAACACCAAGGAGGTGGAAATGGGAGATGCGGAGGAGGCTGCAGGAGTGGAAGAGACAAAGGAGGAGATTGAGGAGGAGATAGAGGAGGTGGAGGCGAAAGGAAGGGGGAAGAGGAAGGGGAGGGTGTCGGCTGATGAGGATGGGAATAGGAGGACCTCAGGCCGGAACAAGCGGCAGAAGAGCAACGGTGCTGCTGCCAGCAAGGGCAGCTATGGGAAGGAGAGTGGGAAGACACAGGAGGAAGATGAAGAGAGCAGTGATGAGGAGATTGATGAGGGGGAGTTTGAGGTGGGGCGGATCGTCGGGGTGAGGTACATTGCTGCCACGGAGAAGGGACGGCCAGCTGGCATTTACTTCAAGGTGAGTTGAACTGTAGCAAGCACGTGAGTGGGGGCCCGCCCTTGTTCTCTTTTGCTACTATGCTTGAGGGCTGCAAATGTCCTCAAGTGTTTAAATGTCGAGGAAATTGAATTTTCCTCAACTTACGATTTCTGCATCTCGATTTCCTCGACCTTCGCCTGTGTTGGGTACACTCGGTCTCTCATCTGCAGGTTCAGTGGAAGGGGTACGGACCAGAGGAGGACACCTGGGAGGCAGAAGAGAGCCTCGGGTGAGTGCTCTATGCCACATGAAGTGGCTTTTCTAGTCGATTTATGAGCCTCAGGTGAATGCTGTTAGCCATACCAGAACTTGTTGTGCCGCCAAACCATACCAGGCCACGCTATGCCAAGGCAACCAACAGTGGGACGTTCACATGCAATAACCAGTTTAGTCCTTTTCTGCTTTCTTTCTTTCTTTCTTTCTTTCCTTTTCAAGGAAAACGTGGAGTGAGCACATTCTATCATGGCACAACATGCCATGCCATGCCATGCCATGCCGACCAGTTGCATGCAGCAGATTGTCATGTGTAACAAGAACATTGCAACTGCATAACCACAACAACACAATGCCATCTGCACATGCTCTCTCCAATGTCCTCTGTTGCTTGTTGCTGCAGCTCGTGCAAGCTGGCTATCCGGGACTATCTGGTGGAGGTGAAGGAGAAGAAGCTGCTACCTCTGCCGGTAAGAAGTGCATAGGTGGTGTTACCTTGCCTCAGCTCTGCAAGCAGGCTATCTGGGATTTCCTGGTGGAGGTGAAGGAGAAGAAGCTGCTGCCTCTGCCGGTAAGAAGTGCATAGGTGGTGTTACCTTGCCTCAGCTCTGCAAGCAGGCTATCCGGGATTTCCTGGTGGAGGTCAAGGAGACGAAGCTGCTACTTGTGCCACAGCCGGTACGGGGCGCATAGACGCTGGTAAGCTGCTCCCAGTTCTTGGTTCTTCATTGCTGCAGCTCGTGCAAGCAGGCTATCTGGGACTATCTGCTGCCCCTTTTGCTGGCAGAAGGTGCAGGGCTGCTGCTGGTGCTATCTTAGGTCCTGGTTGTTTGTTGCTGCAGCTCGTGCAAGCAGGTTGCTGCCACCTTGCAGTGCATTTGTTCTTAATGCTTTTCTCCACCCTCCCCAATCCCACACCAGGGCGATGTGGATATCATCTGTGGAGGGCCGCCGTGCCAGGGCGTGAGCGGCTTCAACCGCTTTCGCAACACGGAGGACCCTCTGGCATGCGAGAATCACTTTTGAGAATTCTCAAAAGTGACCCTCTGGCATGCGAGAAGAACCGGCAGCTGATTGTGTTCATGGACCTGGTGGGGCGGCTGGCGAGTCAACCTGAGTTGTCTCACATCTAAAAAAAAATATCCGATTCTCCTATCCCCATGCCAGGGCGATGTGGACATCATCTGTGGAGGCCCCCCATGCCAGGGCGTGAGCGGCTTCAACAGGTTTCGCAACACTGAGGACCCTCTGGCATGTGAGAAGAACCGGCAGCTGATTGTGTTCATGGACCTGGTGGGTTGGCTGGCGCCCACGTGGGTGCTCATGGAGAACGTGGTTGACCTCATGAAGTTCAAAGAGGGCATCCTCGCCAAATACGCCATCGCCCGCCTTGTGGCCATGGGGTACAAGGTGAGCTGATTTTTTAGGCGCCTCAAAACATGGATCTGGTGGGGTGGCTGGCGCCCAAGTGGGGTGCTCATGAAGAACGTGGTTGACCTCATGAAGTTCAAAGAGGGCATTTTGGCCAAATCTGCCATCGCCCGCCTCTTCGCCATGGGGTACAAGGTGAGCTGGGATGGGGGGAAGGGGGCGGGAGGGGGGCGGGAGGGGAGCAGGGAGGTGAGTTTTGAGGCGCCTCAAAAGCCATCGCCCGCCTCTTTGCCATGGGGTACAAGGTGAGCTGGGATGGGGGGAAGGGGGCGGGAGGGGGAGGGTACGTGTCGAATGTTATCTTAGGAAGTTTGATGGAGTTTGTCACAAGCACCACCAACAGCTTCGCACCAACACAATTTTCGCTATAAGAAGATGCATTTGCTTTTCTTCACCTCACCTCTCCTTTACCCCCCCTTCTACAGTCTCGCACGGGGATCATTGCAGCCGGTTGCTTTGGAGTCGCCCAGTTTCGCCTCCGAGCTTTCTTCTTCGGCGCTTTGGATGGCCATGTATGTAACTATTCATATTCTTCTGCGATTTTTGTTGTTGATATGTTTTTTTTGTTTTTGCCCATTATACCGAAGGGGGTAGAGGGGGGGGGGGGGGGGGGGGGGGAGTGGGGTGGTGGTGGGGTGTTCGTGCTGTTGGTGCTGCCGGTGCAGTCAAGGAAAAATTTTCACCCTATTCCCCGTGCCTGCCCCACATTCCCCTCCTTTCCCCCATCCCCCCCTGCCTCCCCCCTCTTTCTCTCCCCTCCCCCTCCTTTCCCTCCCCTCCTTCCCCGTCCCTTCCCCTTCCCCCCTCCTCTCTTGTCCACCTTTGCCATCGCAGGCGCTTCCAAGCTTTCCCTTACCCACACATCTCGTCGCGAAGGAGAGAGGCTCTGTGCCCACCCGCTGGATGGTGAGTGACTTTTGAGGCGCCTCTAAAGTCGTCTCTTATCCCGCAATCTTTTGTACTGAGAGGCTGCGTGACCACCCGCTGTGTTTTGAGTATACTTAAAACAGGCCTCAAAATTCGTCTCCTATCTCACAATCTTTTATATTGAGAGGTTGCTTGCCCACCCTCTGGATGGTGAGTGATATGGTTGTAATTGCGCGCGAGCGTTAGATGAAGGACATTTCCTCATGGAAATTCTTTCATTACGATCAGGCCAATTCTGCACTTACATTCTTTAACCGTGGACAGAGTCTCAATTCGTCGTTTGTTTTTGTCGATGTTCATAATGCTTCAGAGGAACTTTGTTGGGTGGGAGGAGAAGTCTCCTGTGTTGAAGACGCTGAAGCCGGCACTCGTGCTCAAGGACGTGATATCTGATCTCCCACCGGTGAGAGCTCGCAGTACTTGTTGGGATAATGTGATCGGCTTGTTGTTTATTGTTGACCAATTATACTGGCTTGTTTATTGATGTTTATTGTTATTATTGCATCCGGTTCAAGTCAAGCTGGTGCTGCTCGAACCGGTACTTTGCTCAGCCATAACCAAGTGTACACCCACCATTTGGTAAATCCTTAGCATGTCATGATATACCAAACTCACATTCAACTTGTGCAGGTGACAAAAATGCCATGTCTACGGACGTCATGGAACACCAAGCCTGCTTTTGAGTCGACTCAAAAGCAGACTCATCACACGCAGTTTTTTAGTCGACTGAAAAGTCTACCAAGCTCACATTCAACTTGTGCAGGTGACAAACGCCACGACTACGGACGTCATGGAATACACCAAGTCACCTGCCAACAACTTCCAGCGATTCATACGCCTCCCCAAATCCGGTACGCTGAGCTCGATTAGCATTGGCCCGTTTTGTCGGTTCCTTGTCAATACTTGAATTGATCTCCCCATTCTTTCCGTTCGACCTCGTTACCCCGTTTGATCCTACACCTCCTCGCACCCTCTCCTAGGCTTTGTAATTTACATTTTCTCCTCCTCCCGCTGTTGTGTGGCCTTCCAACCATGAGAACAAAAAGTGAAGAGTAAATTATTAGCCTCATTATGGAAGGAAGGAGCATACATAGTTTTCAAGAGAGTGTTGGAAAGGAAAAATGAGAACGCAACATTTCGTGAAGTGGGTCAACCTATGGCCCATTGGGTTGGGTTGGTGATATTCCCCAAATCTTGCTATCCTAAGGTTGCATTTAAGGGTTCCACTACAACTGAGTTGGATTGGCATCCCAACATGCAAGGCTACACCCTAAGTTGGGTGTAGTCCCAACCCAACTATACTCCTTACTTGGTGTATAGTCACAGAAGGCTTAGCATGCTAGAGTATATAATTCTAACACAACCCATTTGCATGCTAAGACAAGAATGGGACAACCCTTCAATCAAGGGACGTCTGGGCGAGCAAGGCCAACGAGGCGTAGCAGTGCGGATTGCGCAGGGCGAGGGAGAGCCTTGGTGATGATGTTGGCCAAGTTGGCATCGCTCGCAATCTTCCGAACAGCAAGAAGACTCCGCTGAACGAGCTCGCGGAAGAAGTAGCGCAATTCGATGTGCTTGGAGCAGCCGTGGCAGAGAGGGTCCTGAGTGAGATGGATGGTGCTGGCGTTGTCACACTAGAGGGTGGGGCAGGGCTGAGGAGCCCCAAGATCAGCGAGAAGAAAGCAGAGCCAGTCGACTCAATCATTTTTTCTGCTTTCCCTGTTATTGTGCAGCCTTTCGTCCCCCGCCCCCAAATGGGACCTCCCCCAACTCGCCCTGGTCATGGGACGCCAACCCCAAGCTGCTGGACCACCGTACGCACAACCTCAACGCCGATGACTTCTATCGCGTGGAGAGGATTCCCAAACGCGAGGTGAGCTTGGACGGGCATAGATTCCCAAAAAAATAGGTAGCGCCTCCCCCAGGTGCGACCTGCTCGGGCTCGCCCTGGTCGTGGGACGCCAATCCCAAGCTGCTGGACCACCGCACGCACAACCTCAACGCCGATGACTTCTATTGCGTCGAGAGGATTCCCAAGCGCGAGGTGAGCTTTGAGGCGCCTGCTAGAGGGTGTGTTTGAGGGCAAATCTGTGGTTGAGTTTGAGGGCGAGGGGGCGCTTTTGATGTAATAAAGGCTTGTACATACAACCCATTAGTTTCAGCTACAGAATTTGACCATTGACACTTTGCTTTCAAAGGTGTGTGCCAGCGCCCCTCCCTCCACCCTCTCCCTTCTTCCTCTCATCCGCAATTGTTTCACCCCAGGCCGCATATTCCGCGACCTGACGGGGGTGCTGACGGACCCTGCCACCAAGAAGTGCTCCTCCCTTCAGCTCCCCTCCCCTCAAACCCACTCCCCCTCTCCTTCCGGTGATTCCAGGGAGCATGTTTCCGCGACCTGCCAGGAGTGCTAACTGACCCTGTCACCAAGAAGTGCTCTCTGGACAAGACTCTCCAGCCCCGCCCGTTCATCCCGCACTCAGGCAGTCCTCTGGTGAGAGCAGTGTTTTGAAGCGACTCGAAAGTCACTCCCGCAGCCCTCTGGTGAGAGCAGTTGATGCGCTTCTGTGGTTTGGAGGCACCCCATTGCTCGCCTCACCTGGGTGCTGATAGTCCCTGTCAACAGGAATTGCTCCCTGGCAGGCCTTCGGTGAAAGAAATGCTTCTGAGTTTCAATCAAATTAAAAGGTCACTCTTTCTTGCACTCAATGCTCTCCTCCGCCTTCCTCTCCTCCGTTTCGCTCTCCTCCTTTCTGTTCACAATGCAGTGCCCTGACTATGCCATCTCATTCGTGAAAGGCACCTCCTTCAAGTATGCCCTCTGGCTCTCACACTCCCTCACACTCCCCTGTTTTGTTGCTCTCGCTACCATGTCAATATCCCACGTTGGTTTCGGGTTCAGGGAACTGAAACTTAGGTATGACATCAAAGTCAATATTTGTACCATATAATAAAAAGTGTGTACCATGTTTCGCCCTTTTCTGTTGTTTTTCTTTGTCGTTCTTTTCTGTTTTATCAGGCCCTTTGCTCGTCTGTGGTGGAATGACACGGTCCCAACTGTTGTCACACGACCCGAGCCTCACAACCAGGTAAGCCAAAGGCAGAAAGCCTTTGGATGACACTCCAGCAGTCCGGTACACAGAGAACGTGAACTGACACAAAGACATGTTAAGTGAGGGCATACGCGTTTGCGAAAGAATTGACATAGTGAGCCTGGGATGAAACTGGTCGAGTTTTGAGGCAATGCGAGCGCTTTCAAGCAACTGCGTGGGCCATTGACCGGATTCCCTCCTGTGTCTTGCAGAAAATTCTTCACCCGGAGCAAGATCGAGTGCTGACAGTGAGGGAGAATGCTCGGCTTCAGGGCTTCCCAGACCATTACAAGCTGTTCGGCGATGCCAAGGAACGGTAAGAGTTATCTATGTTCTTGGTAACCAAAACAATGCAATTGCAGGGTGCTTCATTACAAGTTCCATTGGTCTGGCCTAGGAGCTTTGGCAGGGAAATCAAGTATGACCATGGTCATTATGCGTCCCTCGTTTTGGCACGTGCAGGTACTGCCAAGTGGGCAACGCTGTATCAGTCCCGATTGCCATGGCTCTCGGATACTCCATCGCAGGAGCTGCACTAGGAGGCACCTCCACTGCCACCTATGGCCTCCCAAGCTCCTTTCCCTATTTTCACTGATTACTCTGAGTGTTGTCGCAGTATAGACTGAGTCGTCTGCACTTATCTAATATGAGAGGTACAATTCAAAATCCTAAATATGACACGTAGTTTGAATTTACAAGCTAGTTTGGGAGCCGCATCTATTTGTAACATCCAATCCTGAAGAAATCTCCTTGTAGCCACATTAGCGAAGTTCACAGATCACATGTCCCCTCTCTCACGGTTTGTCTGTTTCTGGGCAACAAAATTCAATGCGGTTGGGGCAGCCTGCTCGTGATTTCCATTTGAAACCAATTGAAACAATGGCCAAACCAGGGTGCCTCTGCCCCAGACGAAAATTGCCAGGTTTCAGGGATGAGGAATCCCAGCTATTTTTTGTTTAGGATCATCCCGCCTTCCATTTCTTCATCAACAAACCAATTCGAGAGTTTCGACTCGATTGAAGCACCCCAGCCACACATCGAGGTTCGCCCAAAGCGCGGCAATCCCAATGGTTCGAGGTGGCTGGGGGAGGATGGTGGTAGTGAGGCAACAAGGCGAGGTTGGTGAAACTGAAACTGATGAATCTTCTACTATTGCTCGCCTGCCTGAATATACACACCATCTCATCAGCCATGGTTGTTGCTGGGTTGAACCGTTACTGCAAGTAGAGTGTTTTGCGCTATGGTCCTCCTGGCAATGGTAGTGGAATGCTTTACCTAAGCACCTTTTGTGAGTCTGCGGTGCTTCTCCTGCGACGTCTTTCGGTGACACGACATTGGTGACTCTACTTCATACGCTGGGGTGAGCATATTAGGGTTTGGAAATTAGTACCAAGGCCCATTATCTCCACGACGTACTCGTTACTCAGTTGTAGAACCTTCTCTGTGCTAGAGCTGCCAATGCTGCATTTGCCGGTACTTCACCAGCAGCCGCTTTCCGACTCCTGGAACATCATACCTGATAGCATGCGAATCCAGCTCGAATGCCTGAGTCATAACATACCTCTTACATTCATTTGAATATTTCTGTAGGAGATTCTCTCATTACGGTTGCAACACAGTAAACAGTTCGCAGAATCATTCGGTAAATTCCCAGAAACAGCTGACAACACAATGGTACGGGTCGCGGAGCGTAACCCTGTCTAGCCCTCAGCCGAGCGCGCGGGGGGAAATGGACGGCGTGCGCGAGCGTGGAAGCAGCAGCCGTCGATCCCACCCGCGATCGTCGTCGCTCCGCGAAGGCGTGTACGACGGCAGGCGGCACGAGGACGTGCGGGAGGAATGGGGGGAGCGCGGGGAGGAGAAGGGGGAACGGGGGGAGCGCGGGGAGCGGGGGGTCGTGCGGGACAAAGAGCAGGAGCGGGCAAGGCGGCGCGCGCGGGAGATAGAGAGGGAGCGAGCCAAGGAGAGAGCTCTAGAACGACGGATCGACAGCCTATCCTGCGGCACAAGTTCCTTCGGCGCTACGGTGGACAGCCATGGATACGAAGACACCCGTGAGTCCGAACAATACCGTGGGTACAGTCTACCTGACGGTAACGATAACAATCACGGATCTGGAACCGTTGCCGGCCGACAAGAGCTGGACTACCGTCAGGGTTCGCAGTACCGTCAGAATGTGGATTACCGTCAGGATGCGAACGACGGTGCTGACGTGGAGCCGCCGTATCACATGTTCGCGAAGAGCGCGACGACCGTCGCACAGCCGGCCAGACACAGCGGCCTCGGATTCGGAGAATCGCCGGTACATTCTCTAGACGTGCCACGTCAGCGGAGCTTCAGGGAAAGGAGACCCGCGTACGACATGGGTCAAGGGAGCGTAGGGTTCGGAGAATCACCCGTTCACGGAACAGATTTTCCACGTCAGCAGAGCCTCAGGGAGCGCCGCGAACGGAGGTATTTACCTCACGCGTCGCGAGCTGCAGTTCCGCAGTCCGCTAGCATCTCGCCGTTTAGGGTTCGCGTCAACCCGCGAGCAGGTGTAGCAGATGTACTCGTAACTAGCAGCCCCGATTTAAGAGTCAACTACGCGCCTCAGCAGGCTCTCGAAGCAGCGCTAGATCCGCGGCGCCAAGCTACATCAACGTCCGCGCCTCGGAGCCGCGTGCCGGCTGCCGAACCTCAGCCGTCCAGGAGCGTGCGTGAGATCCGACGGTCACGATCGGCTGTCCCGAAAACCACCGATACAGCGGAGCTGCTGGGAGGTGATTTCACGGAGGAAGAGCTTCGAGATTACCTGCTTCACCATCCACACGAAGATCAGTCCTCTTCGCCTGCTCCCTCGCAGCTGATCAGCAGCAGTAGCAGCGGTAGGGAGCCTTACCCGCAAGATTTCCCCCAAACCTATGCACAAGCCTATCCCGGATCCTACTCGCAAAATCACCTACAGAATTCCGAACGAACGCCGGACCACTGGGATGGGTCGGCGGAAGTATGGGATCGGGAGAGGTATCGGGAAGGGGAGAGGGAGAGGGAACGCGAGCGAGACCGAGAGAGCGGCGGAAACACGAGCTCGAGCCACGCGAGCGGCGCCAGTCATTCGAGCGTGGGGCGCAGCAGATCCAGCGTTCCGCGCAGCGGAAGCCGTAGCCGGTCGGGTTCCGCCAGGCGCGGGGTTCCGCGCGTGAGCAGCACGGGCGGGGGGAGAGTGCAGCGGTCCGCGTCTGTGGGGCTGTCGGATTCGGCGGAAGAGGAGGAGGAGGACGACGACGGGGAGGAGTTTTTGACGTCGGTTCCGCCCGCTGCTATGGATGTTCTGTTGGGGAATACGGGGAAGAAGGCCGCGGCTGGCGGGTGGAGAAAATCCGCGTCCACATCATCAGCTGGGCCAGCAGTAGCAGCAGTGGGGCAGGGGAGGGCGAGGGGAGCGCAGACGGCAGGGCAGGGATGGGGGCAGGGGATAGGGCAAGCGGCGGGGGAGAGTGCAGGGCAGGGGTTAGGCCAGGGAGTGATGGGGGGAAGCAGCTGGGAGAGAAGGGTGGAGGCGCAGGGGGAAGCGATGTACGGCGGGCTGGGCGCGGAGGACGACGAGGATGGGGTGCTGGAGGCGTATGCTGTGGATGATTTGGAGGAGCTGGATGCGGTGGAAGGGGGTGATGGTGCATGGATGGTGGAGAGCGGTCAGGTGGGGGGTGGGTTTCAGGAGTTGCAGCAGCAGCAGCAGCTGCATGTGCAGCAGGGGTATCATATGGTGCAGCAGCAGCAGCAGCCGCAACAGCTTTACCAGCAGCAATACCCCAACGAGTACCACCAGCAACAGCAGTATTACCAGCAGCAGCAGCTACGCCAGCAACAGCCACAGCCGCATGTACAACCCTACCAAGATCAGCCCGTTCAGCAACAACAACTGCCGCTGCAGCAGCAACCACAACAGCAACACCAGCCGCCCCAGCAGCAGCAGCAGCAGCAGCAGCAGCAGCAGCAGCAGCAGCAGCAGGAGACAGGATACAACCGTCAGCTGAGAACCCCACCACCAGAGTTCCACTCCCCGCGGCACCTAGAGGAAATGAGGCGCCGCTCCTCCTCCCTCTCCCCAGCACGTGGCGCTGTCTCTGCATCAGCCTCGGATGAGCGCATTCCTCTCCACACTGCTGCTGCCGGTCGTTCCGACTGCTCCTCGCCTCTCAGAGGCGCCGCCCCTGGCGTCTCAGGTGGTGCCTCTCCTGCTTCTGGGTATGGCGGCGGGGCGTATGGGCAGCAGGAGCAGTACGGGCAGCAGGGGCAGTACGGGCAGCAGGGGCAGCAGGGGCAGTATGGGCAGCATGGGCACTCCAGCAGCAGCGGCAGTCTGGGGCATGTGTCGCCTGGTCACGGGCATATGTCTCCTACCATTGCGCGTCTCTCACCTGGTTCAGGTCATGCCTCTCCCAGCAGGGGCCGTGCCAGTCCGGGTCATGCATCCCCTGGGCGGGGCTATGCTGCTCTCGGCCCTCAAGACAGTGATCCGCGCGACGGTGCACTGACTGGCTTGCCTGCTGCTGCTATCGGTGCTGCTGATTCTTCTGGGCCTGCTGGTGCTACTGCTGGTGCTGCTGCCGGTGCTGCTAGTGCTCGCTCGCCTGCGGCTGCTGGTCGTGGGGCGTATGGGAGAAGCCAAGGGGTTGAGAACGGTGGAGGAGGGCGGATGTCCGCGCAGGCAGGCGCGGAGCAGCAGAGCGGGGGAGAGCATTCCGCAGGAAGGGTGGACGGGCGGGTGGGGGGAGCGGAACCGGCAAGGGCAAGCCTGGGCGGAGGAGTGGCGAGGGAGGCGGAGGAGGGCAAGCAGGAGGGCGGAGAGGGACGTGTGGGGAGTGGGCGGAGAGGGGAAGACGATTTAGTGGCTGCCGCTGCTCTGGTTAGCGGAGCAGCGGGTGCTGGTGACGACAGGGAGAATGAGGCGGGGACAGGAGGAGCAGGAGCAGCAGGAGGAGGAGAAGGAGCCGCAGTAGGGGATTCAAGCGTTCTACCTTCTGCCGGTGGTTCCGGGGCTGGTGCTGATGCCAGTGCTGGTGCAGGGGTTGCAGCAGCAGGGGCCGCGCCAGGTGCTAGTGCAGAGGCGCCTGGTAGGAAAGGTGCAGGCGGGAATGGAAGAGGAGGAGGAGGTGGAGGCGGAGGGGGTATTTCAGAGATAGCACTGGCCCGGAACCTGAGTCTGCAGGTGAAGAAGGCAGAGCAGCAGGTCTCCCTGGACAGGAATCTGTCTCTTCGCAACATCAAGAAGCAGGGCAAGGACCTGGTACCAAAGCTGACCACTCTGCTCAAGAAGTCAGGTATGTAAGTTCGTTTGAGTTGAGGCACTTCAAAGGAGGACCTGATGAATGCATGTTCTCAAACGGGAATTTGTCTCCGTGCAACATCAAGAAGCAGGCCAAGGAGCTGGTGCCTAAGCTGACCACTCTTTTGAAAAAGTCAGGTACGCCTTTTGGGGAATTTAGAGGAAATCAGGGGAACAGGTTTCACTAAGTAGGAAGGACCTGGTTCCGAATCTGACCTCCCTCTCTGCCCCCACCCGCCGCATCCAGCTCAGCAGGGCCGGGTATAAGTAGTGCAGGTGTGGCAGGCTTGGTGCAGCAGGGGTGGGTGCAGCAGGGGTGGGTGCAGCAGGGGTGGGTGCAGCAGGGCTTGGTGCAGCAGGGCTTGGTGCAGCAGGGCTTGGTGCAGCAGGGCTGGGTGCAGCAGGGCTTGGTGCAGCAGGGCTGGGTGCAGCTGGGCTGGGTGCAGCAGGGCTTGGTTCAGCTGGGCTGGGTGCAGCTGGGCTGGGTGCAGCAGAGGCAGGCAACTTTCTTCCCCTTCACACCTCCCCCTTCCTCTCCTCTCCCCTACTCCCTGCCCCCAACCTCCCTCATTGGTTCCACCCACCACAGCTAGCTCAGCAGGCGCGGGAATAAGCTATGCGGGCGCGGCAGGGCTGAGCGCAGCAGGCGCGGGGATCAGCGCAGCGGGGGCGGGCATCACTGCAGCGGGGGTGGGCATCAGTGCAACGGTGGGGAAGAGACCGCCCAAACCCGGGCGGTCTGCGACTGAGAAGGAGCGCTCCATGCCTTCGCTCTCCATGCCCTCCATGCCAAGGTGAGCTCCTCGGCTCCACGCCCTAGGGGGGGTAGGCGGGCATCACTGCAGCAGGGGCGGGCATCACTGCAACGGGGGGCGGCGGGCATCAGGGCAACAGCGGGGAAGAGACCGCCCAAATCCGGGCGGTCCGCAACAGAGAAAGAGCGGTCCATGCCTTCGCTCTCCATGCCCTCCATGCCAAGGTGGGGATGGGGAAGGGAAGGACACATACCAAAATGGTATCTCTGCCATGCCAAGATGTGTCTGCTCTGCCTGCCATTGCTCCTTATGCCTGCCATTGCTCCTTATGCCTGCCATTGCTCCTTATGCCTGCCATTGCTCCTTGCTCCTTATGCCTGCTATGCCAAAAGAAGGGGCATAAAAAGTGCTATTTTATATTTTTATTCTCCTCCCTTTTTTGGCCTATCATATGCCCACAGGTCACTCACCCTCTCAAGGCACAAGGACGGGCCTGAACGGCCAGAGAAAACTTTTGGGGACCTACCCGCACCCAAGCGCACCCATTTCCAGTACTCTGAGCTCCAGGCAAGCACTCTTGCACTCCCACTCATACTCGCAGTCACTTTTATGTGCACACACACACACAGTCACACTCCTATGCAAGCATGCTTGGCTTCACTCTCATGTTCATGCCGTGCTTACTCGTGCTTACACTCACAACAATCACCCTTCGCCCTCTCTCTCTCCGCACCCTCCCTCCTCTCCCTTCTCCCTCCCCTCCCACCTCTCCCTCCCCTCTCTCGTCTCCCTCCCTTGACCCCTCTCCCTCCCCTCTTCGCTCTCTCCCCATCCTCCCCTCTTCCCCCCCCCTCCCCTCTCCCACATCTGCCTTCGCTCTCTGCTCTCTTTCTACCACTATCGCAGCTGGCGACGGGGAATTTCGACGAGGCCAATGTGCTGGGCCAGGGCGGCTTTGGGAAGGTGTACTACGGGGTGCTGCCCGTGCAGCCAGCGCAGGTAGGATTCGAGACACTTGGGGTTTAAGTGCGGTAGAGGGGCTACAAATTACATTGTCAATGTGCTCAGGCAGGGCGGCTTTGGGAAGGTATACTACAGGGTGCTGCCCGTGCAGTGCAGCCAGCACAGGTGAGGATCTGGGACGTGGGCTTTAAGTGCCGTTCACATATCTGGGATGCACTGCTCTAGTTGTTGAGTCCAGTTGGCTGAACCAGTCCAGTTGGCTGAACCAAAAAAAGGTGTGACCTTGCTGTTGTATTTTAAACATGCGACCCCAGGCTGCTGGCCTCATTAGTCACTTCTGTGTGTAATCACACCACGCACACTCTTTCGCCCCCCACCACGCATGTTCTCTTCTCTTCTCCTCCCTCCAGGTGGTGGCGGTGAAGGTGCTGACAAGGGGCGGGTCGCAGGGCGATGAGGAGTTCACGATTGAGCTGGAGCTGCTCAGCCGACTGGAGCACAAACACCTGGTGAGAATGGGCCTAGGACTCTGCTAGCGCCTAGCTAGCACCTGGTGAGATGGCGGCTGCTATCACCTGGTGATGACTTTTGAGTAGACTCAAAGGTCAACGTGGGTCGCAGGGCGATGAGGAGTTCACGATTGAGCTGGAGCTGCTCAGCCGACTGGAGCACAAACACCTGGTGAGACAGGGAGGGCTGAGATAAGCTCGTAGACAGTTAGCTGGTGAGCGCACAAGCATCTGTTGAGACTGTGATTGAGAAGTGCTTGTGAGAAGGTGGGTTCCAGCAGCAGCTGAAAATGCTCAAGGAAGACAGGACAGGCACTAGCCCGGTGGTTCTCCTATACCCTCTCTCGATCCCTCCGCTCAACCGTCTCTATTGATTTCTCACACCGCTCCTCTCCTCTCCTCCCCTCTCTTCCCCCCGGCAGGTGAAGCTGTTTGGGTTCTGCATGCGCTCGCAGCAGCGCCTGCTCGTCTACCAGTTCCTGCCCAACGTCCCCTTCTCTCTCTTCCATCCCCGTTTGGCATCCCTCACTCACACCACCCCTCTCCTCACTCCCCCTCACCCCCCCAGGTGAAGCTGTTTGGGTTCTGCATGCGCTCGCAGCAGCGCCTGCTCGTCTACCAGTTCCTGCCCAACGGCTCCCTCACGGACCACATGCACGGTGGGTTGGTGCTGCTGCTGCTGCTGCTGCTGCTGCTGCTGCTGCTGCTGCTGCTGCTGCTGCTGCTGCTGCTGCTGCTGCTGCTGCTGCTGCTGCTGCTGCTGCTGCTGCTGCTGCTGCTGCTGCTGCTGCTGCTGCTGCTGCTGCTGCTGCTGCTGCTGCTGCTGCTGCTGCTGCTGCTGCTGCTGCTGCTGCTGCTGCTGCTGCTGCTGCTGCTGCTGCTGCTGCTGCTGCTGCTGCTGCTGCTGCTGCTGCTGCTGCTGCTGCTGCTGCTGCTGCTGCTGCTGCTGCTGCTGCTGCTGCTGCTGCTGCTGCTGCTGCTGCTGCTGCTGCTGCTGCTGCTGCTGCTGCTGCTGCTGCTGCTGCTGCTGCTGCTGCTGCTGCTGCTGCTGCTGCTGCTGCTGCTGCTGCTGCTGCTGCTGCTGCTGCTGCTGCTGGTGGTGGTGGTGGTGGTGGTGGTGGTGGTGAGTGTGTTAGTGATGAGTGTGTGGTGTAACTGGCACTCCGCCATCACCAGGCACTCACCAGGCACTCACCAGGCACTCACCAGGCACTCACCAGGCACTCACCAGGCACCACAGCGCCACAGCGCGACAGCTAGTTGCTACTGTAGCCCGATGCCGCCGTTGCATGTGACAGTGCATATCGTCGGTTCCTGCCCAACAGCTCACTCACTGACCATATGCAACATCTCAACATCACTTCACAGCCTTCTCACCCTTTCCCCCCATCTCCCCTATACCTCTCCCCCACCCTTTCCTCCATCTCCCTCCCCTCCCCATACCAGGCAAGAAGAGGGAGGAGAACGGCCCACTGTCCTGGGAGAGGAGGCTGCGGATAGCCGTGGGGTCGGCGAGGGGCCTGCAGTACCTCCACTCGCAGAGGCCCCAGATTCTCCACCGCGACATCAAGTCGTCAAATATCCTTCTCACCGACAACTTTGCTGCCAAGGTGCATCGAGGGACAAGATTAGGTGTGTGCTGATGTGTCAGTTCTCTATCCTCCTTTACAAGCCTCCTCCACCGTGACATGACATCATGTTGTCCAACATCCTGCTCACTGATAACTTCGCTGCCAAGGTGCGCTAGATTGATGAGGTATATGCTGATGTGTCAGTATTCCATCCATCCATCGGTCCGACCGTCTGTCCATCCATCCATCCATCCATCCATCCATCCATCCATCCATCCATCCATCCATCCATCCATCCATCCATCCATCCATCCATCCATCCATCCATCCATCCATCCATCCATCCATCCATCCATCCATCCATCCATCCATCCATCCATCCATCCATCCATCCATCCATCCATCCATTCATCCATCTCACCCTCCTGTTGCTAGCCTCCTCCACCATGACATGGCATCAAGTCCTCCAACATCCTGCTCACTGATAACTTTGCTGCAAAGGTGGGTGGATCAAAGAGGTGTATGTTGATGCGTGAGCAAAATCCCATCCCTCTCTTCGGTTACACCGTTACACGCTTCCTCCGCCAAACCTCCTCCTTCCCCAGCGCTTGTCACAGGTGGCGGACTCTTGAGGCGCCTCAAAAGCCTTCCCCAGCGCTTGTCACAGGAGGCGGACTCTGGGTGTGCGAAGCTGATAAAGCAGACGATCAAGGTGGAGGACCCGCAGACGGGGCAACAATGAGGGTTCATCCCTTCCTCCGGCTCCCTTTCCCCTGCGCACACACACACACAGGTGGCGGACTTTGGGCGTGCGAAGCTGATAAAGCGGACCATCAAGGTGCATACAGGACCCGCAGACAGGCCAGAAGAAAATAACGATTCTCTCTCGTTTCACCCCAAATCATCCTGCTTCCACATGATTGCCCCTGCTTCCCCCTATCACTCAGGTGGCGGATTTCGGGTGTGCGAAGCTGATCAAGCAGACGATCAAGGTGGAGGACCCAGTGACCGGGGAGCTGGTGGAGCGACGACACGCCCTCAACTCCCATCCCTCTCTCTATTTCATCACTCTCTTTCCCGTCCTCTCTCCCTCCAGGTGGCGGACTTTGGGTGTGCGAAGCTGATCAAGCAGACCATCAAGGTGGAGGACCCAGTGACGGGGGAGCTGGTGGAGCGGCTCGGGGAGAGCGTGGATGTGGCCATGGGCACCCATGGTCACATGGCGCCTGAGATTCTCATGACTGGGGAGATCAGCTCCGCTACTGACGTGTACAGGTGGGTGCTTGTAGAGAGTCTGTGCTCGTATTGAGGAGGGCGGAGCGGCTGGGAGAGAGCGTTGGTGTTGCCATGGGCACTCACGGTCACACGGCACCTGAGATTCTCATGACTGGGGAGATCATTCTGCTACTGACGTGTACAGGTGCGTGCTTGTAGAGATTCTGTGCTTGTATCGAGGGTGTTCTTATAGTGGATGTTGGAGCAGCTGGGGGAGAGCGTGGTCGTGGCCATGAGCACGCATGGGCACAAGGCTCCGGAAATTTTGATGACAGGGGAGATCAGCTCTGCTACCGAGGTGTACAGGTGCTTGCTTGTGGTGAGGGTGTTTGTAGCATGGGTGCTGCTACCATGAATGGAAGTTGCTGGTCGAAGGGGAGAGAGTGGATGTGGCCATGGGCACTCACGGGCACATGGCTTCGGAGATATTGATGACTGGAGAGCTCGGGTCTGCCACCGATGGGTACAGGTGTGTGCTTGTAACGAGGCTGTGCTTGGAGGGAGGGTGCGGCTATAATGGATGGAGGTTGCTTGTTGGGGAAAGGAGTGTGGACGCGTTTGGAGTGGTTCTCTTTGAGCTAATCAAAGGCCGCGTTCCTGTCCTTCCCACCTACTCATAAAGTGCTGTTGCCGCATTCCTACACGAATGTGCCTCTCCGCATTCCCCTACCACCACTACTTCCCCCCTCCAGCTTCGGAGTGGTCCTCTTTGAGCTCATCACGGGCCGCGTCCCTGTCTTGCCCGATGGCATGCAGCTCGTGCACTGGGTACGTTTCCCTACCACTTTAGCTGCAGATTAGGATGTACCAGGTCTTCCTGTAGCTATGGCTTTAGGGTTCCAAGTCAAACCCTAAACCTAGACCCTGGACAGCTTCTCCCTGGGTTCAGCTCAAGCACCTCTTTCAGCTCAAGCATCTCATCATGGACCCTGCCCTGTCACTCTTTGCCATGAACTTCCTTGTGAATTCTCGCAGTACATTGCTATTATTGGCTCTCTTTCCCCGTCGTACTCCCCTCCCTTCCACTCTCTCTATCTCCAACGGACCTTTGTATCAAGTCTGGGCTCGTCCTCTCACTCGCCCCTTATTGCAGGTAACGCCGCTCTGTGAGCAGAAGCGGTGGGAGGAGCTCATTGACCCGGACGTCCTAGCAGCTCAAGCCAGCTCAAGAACGATGTAAACAGAAGGATGAAAACAAAGCCAGATTTAATACCAGACTACACTCCTTTGCTCACTCACTCCATGTTGCAGGTGACTCCACGGTGTGAGCAGAAGCGGTGGGAGGAGCTGATTGACCCGGACGTCCTTGCTGCTCAAGCCGGCTCTCTAGAATTCTCAGATACCAGCTAGTTTCCTTCTTCCCTCACTCTCTCCGTGCTGCATGCAGGTGACTCCACTGTGTGAGCAGAAGCGGTGGGACGAGCTGATCGACCCGGACGTCCTGGCAGCTCAAGCCGGCTCCACTCCCACCGGCCCTGCTGCCGTCGCTGCTGCCGCCGCCGCCGCTGCCGCTATTGCTGCTGCTGGCGCTGCTGGTGCGGGTGGGAGTGGTGACTCTTCGAGTGCAGAGGTGGCCGGTACTTGCTCTGGGTCAAGCAGTGTCAGTGCCACGAGCAACAGCAGCAGCGGCAGTAGTAGCAGTAGCAACAGCACCACAACAACAACCACCTCCAGCAGCAGTGGTGGCAGCGGTGGCAGTGGGAGTGCGAGTGGCGGGAGGCAGAGGCCCATCAGTGCGTCGCTGATCCGCTTTGCAGAGCTGGCGCACTCGTGCATCCTCTTTGACCCGCTCTCCCGCCCCTCCATGGCGGATGTTGCCCATGCCCTCCATGCCATCTATCTCGGTACGCTGCTCTCACATGTCACAGCCGCATGTCACATGTCACATGTCACATGCCAGATGTCACATGCCACATGCCACATGCCACATGTCACATGTCACATGCCACATGCCACATGCCACATGTCACATGCAACATGCCAGATGTCACATGCCACATGCCACATGTCACATGTCACATGTCACATGCCACATGCCACATGCCACATGCCACATCCAACATGTCTCATCTCACATGCCAAATGCCATATCCCACTTGATATTTCCTATTCCCCTGCCCAGTTCACTGCTCAATCCTTGGCCCATTTCTCTGCCCTATGTGCTGCTGCCCAATCATGTGAGCAGACAAAGACTACAGCTCGATACCCTCTGCTGCTCAACAGAAGCGATCCCAATCCCATTCCCAACACCAACACCAGAACCAGTCCCAATCCCAGGGCCAAGCGGCCCAGTCCTCCTCCTCTCGCTCCTCCCCCACCGCCTCTGACGATGACGGCAGCAACCGCGGGTCACACCAGAAAGGCTCTCAACACAACAGCCACAGCAACGGTGGCAGTAACTCGGGTGGCGGTGGGGTGTTACCGCCAAACGAAGGGTGAGATGATGAGTGATGGTCGCGGGTTGATTTGGTGAGCTGACTTGGTTATAGGAGCTTTTAGTGGGTGGTTGTTGATTACGGTTGTTTTGTTTTCCTGCGCTGTCCCCTCACACATTTGCTCTGTTTTTTTTTTTTTTTTTTTTTTTTTTTTTTTACATTGGTCAGTGGGAGTCGAGAGGAGAAGCTCGAGTTGGTACAAAAGATGCGACAGATATTGCAAGAGGGGCAAGAGGAGGAGTTACGATGGGATTCCTGAGTTACATTTTAGAGGTCTAGGAGATGTTGTTACTAAATTCGAGCTGGCTCTCCACTCAACCTTGTGGATAGGCATGAGCATAAATTAGCATTAGTGATGCAAGCAAGCTTGCACTAGCCAGCATGGTGTAATATTAGGTGTCTTCACATCTTGTTTCGTGCACTTGATTCTTTTATATGTTGCTGATGTCTGTAGCGGAGCGTTAGCGGTCGTTGAAACCAGGTTTCTGCTGAAGATCCCAGCGGAATGAGGTCGACGGAATCGAGTTGCCAGGGTCGACGAGGGGGGTCGACGGACAGGGGTCTGACGAGGCGGGCGAGTGACGCGCGTGCGGGCCCGCCAGCCTGGCCCTGGGCTGGGCCGGGCGCACGACCGCCGCCCCACAACCCCCCCCCCCCCGAGAGTGAACAGCGACCCACGTTACCGGGTGGGGGCGGCGAGCTGGCGAGACCTCGGGCGAGGGGAAGTAACCCTGCCGCGAAGGCAGCCCACCCCTCCCTCGTGCCCACGAGGCCCTAGTAACCCATCGCGGCCTGCCCGTACGGGCAGGCGAGGTCCACGCGAAAATCGGGGGCTCCCCTCGGGTCGCTCGACTATTTCGCGACCCGTTGCGGTGACGCCACGTGCTCGCCCGTCATTTCGCATCGCGTGCATGAGACATTTCGTACCCCCCGAAACTCGAGCGAAAACCTGGGTCGTTCGCCACGGGGCGCACGGCTTTCGCGACCCTCTGCGAAATCGACACGTGGTGCCGAAACGTCGCACCGCGCCCACGCGAAGTTGCGTCCCCTGGCCGACCGAGGCCGGGGCACGTGACGTCGACCTGTTGGCTCGGCGGCGAGGGTGCACTTGTGCCACGCAACTTGTGCACGAGCCCTGCCGAGCCAGGCATCACGGCCCCCTGGGCGACGCTCAACCGGGCCTGCGTGGCTCCGCCTGGCTTTTCTTCGTTGGAGGTGGACTGGCCCCTCATTTTCGCGTTCTCGTTTCTCTTTCATTTTTCCTCCCACCTCGGCGCCTTCCATACTCCCACCGCTTCTTCCCTTAGCCTGTAGCATAGCATCCTCGCTCTCCCGCCATGGCAGCCGGCCAGAAAGCCGCCGAAGCGGCGCCGACCTCGCTAGATTTCCCCCTGCATCTAGACATCGGTAGAGGACACACGGCCAAGTTCGAAGAGCACGACTACGCCGTTCTGACAAACCCTATGCTAGAGTTTAACGCCCGCTTGCTTGGGACTCGGTCTCAAGTGAGTGTCTTATTGAGATGTCGTCGTCGACGGGCCTAGTCCATGCTGGTCGGCCATGGCGGGGTTTCAATGCGTCCAGTAGTATATGTCGACGGGCTTAGAGTTCAGGCACATCACATCGGTGATGCCGACGTAATGCGTTAGGTCGTCGACGACGCTGAGTTGTGCCGAAGTCGTTCGGCTCCCGTCATTCCACCGTCGTGCCGCGCACCTATACCTCTCTAATCTGTTGTAATCATGCATGCGTGCAGGCACGCATGGATCCGCTCAACGGATGCAGGCGAGCGATTGTGGTCGATAGGAGTCGGCCGGCTTCGGGCGGCGATGGGTCAGGACGACCACACATGCTTTGCGACGATTTTCGACGCCGACGTGGCGGTTATCCCACTGATATCGAGGTGAGCAGGTTCGAGGTCCTGCTGTGTGCTGCAACCTGTGTCGGTGATTTGTTCTGAGCGCCATCGACGTGCCTTGTCTGTGCAGCATCGCACCGCTTCCGGGAGCACATTGCAGCGTCGTTCTCATCCTGTGCCCCGGCGATTTGTTCAATGCCTCGGGGCAGGAGGTCAGGACCTCGATCCGGCACGCCGACCCGCAGACAGTGAAGGAGTGGCACCGCGACGAGGCGATCCGCGTGCTGAAGTGAGCTCGATAGTTTAGTCGACATCGCATACATTGTCGACACGACGCGTGCATCGTGCTAACCGACCGTCCTTGCCGTGCTTTTGCAGGTTTTTCCGGACCGCTGTTCTGGCCGAGCTGCGGCGCGAGGGTAGGAAATGGGAGTGGGCGAAGCCGTCCGAAGACGAGGTGCAGGAGAGGCTCGCCGACTGCGACGAACCCCTTCGAGATGTGAGTTACGGACGATTCGCCGTCATATGGTGTCACATCTACGCCGCCCTCATCCTTGCTCTCTGCACTGTTGTATGCAGAAAATTCCCGATACCGTCCGGGACTCGGACGCGGGCTCCGGCCTGCTAGCAATGAGCGCGTTGATCTGGGTTGTGAGGCGGTTCCAGCGCCTGACCGGCGACCTCCGTCGCATTGCCACCAGCATGGACAAGCCCACCGTCTCGGGGTTGAAGGCGCTGCGGAACGAGATGGTAGCCCTCATCAAGAAGCAAGTCCCGCTCATACGGTCGGGGAAAACCGTTGTTGCTGCCGACGCCTGTGACGACGACGGCGAGGAAGTCCATTCTGCATCCGTACCAGTAGGGGTCGCCCCGAACGTCGCTGATGCGCGTGGCAAGTCGGGAGTCGGCGTCGACGAGGCCGATGCGGCCGCAGGAAAGGGGGTGACCGGGACCGAGGTTGTTCACGGGGATGATGATGGGGTCCAGGATCGCGAGGAGGAACGTGAGGGTGAGGGGGGCTCGGAGGAGTCGTCGGGGTCGATGTCGGGGTCGAGGTCGGGGTCGGGATCGGGCTCGGAGTCGGAGTCGGAGGAGGAGCAGGAGCAGGAGACGCAGGAGCACGAGAGGCAGCACCAGGAGGAGCAGTTGGTAGAGGTGGAGGACGTGGAAATGGCGGAGGGGTACGTTGTCGGAGGAGCGGAGGGGTACGTTGTCGGAGGAGCGGAGGAAACGGGTGGGAGATCGGCGGATGTCGAGAACGACGAAGGGGAGGGGAAGGGTGCGACAGCGAATATCGGCGAGGTCGGCGTGGAGGCGGCTCACGGAGGTGGTGGCATGGTCGAGGTCGGTGAAGGGGATAACGCCGCGGTCCCGGAGCAGAGGGGCGTGGATGTGCATACCGATGCCACCGCGGAGAAGGCCGGCGGGGAGCGGTCTAGGAGGAAGAAGGCGGCGAGCGGTCATCCCGGTTCCACCGCGGCTGGGCGGCAGGCGCGGCTGGACGTCGTCGATCAGCTGAGGGCGGAGAACAGGCGATTGCGTGCAGACAATGCACTCCTTGAACGGCGGCTCGGTGAGCAGACGGGGCGGGTCGACAGCTTGGCGGCGGCATTAGCTGGGCTCCTCGAGAAGTTGAAGGGTTTGACCGCCCAGGTCGCCGACACCGACCGGAAATCGGAGGAGCGCCTCAAAGAGGCCACGTCGACCATGGCGACCACAATCACCGAGGGCCTCACCGACAACATGGACATCGCCATTCAATCGGCCAAGTCCTTCGCCGAGCTAGCGAGGCAGACGCTGCTGGATCTTGACGACCCCAAGGGACGAGCGGCGGTCGCACGCGCGACCGCGGTGAAGACAGTGACCGAGCACGTGACGGCGGAGGTGGGCGAGGCGAGGAAGGGGTTGGAGGAGTCGTTCATCAAATACATCGGCGCCGCGCAGACCAACATTGCCGCCGCCGTCGCGCCCCGCCTAGTCCAGCCGCCGCCGCCTACCGGCCCAGCGCAGGCCTTGCCGGAAGATTTCCTGAAGTCTTTCAAGGAGGACGTGCTGAAGGCGGTGACGGAGACCACGCAGCAGTCCTTCCTCGCCTCCGGACTGAAGATAATGGCCGAGGTCGTCGGCACGGTGGCGTATGCTCAGCGTGGGTCGTCGCCGTCGGCAAACGACGCCGGCCAAGCGCAACCTACGGAGGGCTTGAAGCTGGGTCACAAGAGGCGGGGAGGCGGCGGGGGGGGCGACGGGGACAATTCGGCGAACACGAAGCGGAGCAAGGGAGGCGGGGGGTCTGGCGGCGGGGGGGGGGACGGAGACGATTCGGCGGGCGCGAGGCGGACCAAGGGAGCGGCTGGTTCTCGCGTCGCCGGCGATGGGAGCATGGGAGCCGGCGACGGCAGTTCGTTGAAGCAGTCGGGGAAGAGCGTGGTCGACATCCTCAGGAAGCACTGGGCTCAGGTTGGAGCGGCCAGCACGGGCCATGGTGGTGGGGGTCCCGCCGACGAGCATGCCACTGATGACGCACTGCCAATGGCTCCGCCTTCGGTCGGCGTTAAGCCACCACGACAGGGTAGCGGTGTGAAAGGCCTGCGCGACAAGGAGAAGGCCGCCGCCAAAACGGCCCCAGGCGGGTCCGCGAAAGCTGGCCAGGGCCCGAAGACAGGGGTTGCGGAGGCGTCAGCGGTTCCTCACCAGTCTCCCGCGGGTGCACGCCATCCGACCGGACCGTCTGCCGGGCGACCTACCGACGTCCCGCGCCATGCCGACGTACCGTCTGCCGACAAGGTTGGCCGCGCGGGAAAAGGGGCGGCAGTTGCGGACGCGCTCAAGGAGCAGCTCAGGCTCCTAGCCGGCCACAGGGCTGTTCAATAGGCCCCCCCTGCTGTCGACGTCCCATCGGCCAGTGGGCCACGTGTAGTGCCGGTCGTCGCCGCCCGTACTCCTGCAGACCCAAAGTCCGCGTTGTTGCGCGCCCAGCTGGGCGCACTAGCGTCGACTGAGAGGACTCAGCAAGGCTTCTGGCTGTGGCTCTAAGCCGTCGTCGGCGAATGTCGCACCACGCACCCATGTGGCAGCTGATGTGGAGAAGGCGGCGGAGAAGGGCGTTCGTGCCGCGCTTGCCACCGGCGGCGGCGCCGTTGAGGAGGTCCCCGCAGACGCTGATATCGCTGCCATACAAGCCCATCTGGATGAAGCCAATCCCCGAACCCTGGCCATCTCCGACACGGAACATGTGGAGCCTTCGGCGGGACTCGTCGGCATCGCGGCAGAGCCTAGTGCGACCGGTGATGCGGTCGGTGAGGGAAAGTCGAAACGGAAGGGGAAGGCGGGCTCACAGAGGAAGACGCGGGAGAAGTCGGAGGTGAAGGCGGCGGATAAACAGAAGGGGATGGCGGCGGAGACGGCGGCGGACAAAGATCGAGGCGGCATTGGGGAGGTTGAAGGGAAAGGGGAGAATCAGAAGTCGCCCGGCGAGGGTACGTCGACGGGGAGGAAGGGGAAGGACAAGTCGGTCGGAGAAGGTGCGTCGACCGGGAGAAAGGGGAAGGAGAAGGCGGTCGGCGAGGGTTCCTCGAAGGGGAGAAAGGGAAAGAGGAAGGTGGAGGAGGAGGATGAGGATGTCGAGGAGGTGGAGGAGGTCGAGCAGGAGGAAGAGGAGGAGGAGGAGGAGGAGGAGGAGGAGGAGGAGGGGAAGGGCAAGGAGAGGAGGGGTCATGGCATCCGACACGATACCTCGGGCGACAAGCAAGGGTGGGTCGGCGAGATTAAGGTGCACGGCATCAATCGATACATCGGCAAGTCGCGGGACAAGATGGAGCTCGCGTACGTTCACTCCATCGCGTACGTCGTCTACGACGGTTTCGTGAGCAAGGTGCTCATGACCGAGCTCACCGGCTTGGACAGCGCCGAATTGGAGAGGTGGAAGGAGGTGTGGGAGGAGGTCAGGATCTTGCCGACAGGGATGTGGACGGTGATGTGGGCCCGGGGTACGCTCCTTCCAAAGACACGGTAAGTCGGCAATCCTCCGATTCAAAGTCGATGTCGTTGTCGTTGTCACTCATGTTCGCCCTGTTTGTGGTGGCGTGACAGGCTGACGGAGATCCTCGACGCGTATCGCCATTACAAGTCCACAAGCGATTGTCTCCACGCCGCGCTCCTGCCAGCGATATGGTACCCAGTCGATGCTAGCACCGAGGAAGGCCGGGAGAAGTCGGCGTCCATGATGTCGGCGATGATAGGCCGCGTGTCAATGTGCGCTGCATATGGGAAGACCGCTGCGGCAGCGGCGAAGAAGGAGGGAGACAAGGAGGAGAAGACGGATATGGCGGCATGGGCGTTAGCAGCATCCGCATGCGCTGTGTGGTGCTTCGTCGAGAACGGCGATGCCCAGCTGGCGGATGCTGTGGAAGAAGGGAAGTCGGCGGCGATCATCGGCGGAGCGAGCCAGGCGACCGCCGATGTATTCGGAAAAGTCATGGAGGCGGTGCTGAAAGCCGAGATGAACAGGGACCGCCCCTTGGGAGAGGTTGCCTACAACGTCGCGCCAGCACTCCAGAGGACCGCCCTTGATACGGTATATCCGGGGGGGAATGCTGGAGTAGATGCCGACGTTATCGCTAGAGCGACGGTTGAGACGATGGCGTTTTGGGGAATGTGCCCCGTCGCCGGGCCGAAACTAAGAGCGAGGGACATCGCGGTGCCGATTGATGCGCAGATGAAGGCCGATCTTGACAACAGGGGGAGGAAGGGTCTGAGGGGCAAGAAGGGGACGAAGACCAAGGGCGGCACGGAGAAGGTCAAGAAGTCGAAGAAGGACAGCACGACGGCCTAGTCGACGGCATGCTAAGATTGAGTGCTGCGTGGACTCGATGATGAAATGGTCGATACCGTTTTCCTTGTTTTGGCTGTCGGATCCCTTTGATGCTCTTTGTTTGTGTTTTTTTTTGTGCGTGCCTGTCTACTTTACGTAGGATGAGTAATGAACACATTAGCTAGTAATGATTGTCTACTTCAGTTTGAACGACACGTGAATGCCCCGCTAGGCCGAGAACAACAGGATCATTGAGAGAAACAAAAAGTCGACATCAGTATCAGTATGAAACATAGGCATGCTGCATCAACATCTACAACATGCAACAGGCCACAGTAGCAGGAGGCCTGGGAACATTCAAGCGGTTTTCTTGCGCTTGGTTCGACTTATTGGTCGGAGGCAGCTGCCCGGCGTCGTTTTCGCGGGCCAGGTCGGCCAACGTCTTCTTCATCTGCTCAACCCAGGTGTCCGGGAACAGGTCGGCGACCCACGTTTCGGGCTTGAGCCCGCGCGCCACGAACGCACAGGCGACACGAAGCTTGGAAAATTCCGTCTTGCCGAGCCCTTTGACGCCCTTACCCTGCCCAGCATAGGTCGCTACGGCGTCCGCGTTGAGCACCGTGAGGGCATCCGCGAAGGTCCCAATGCCAGGCGCCGCTATCTTGTTAAGCGCGTCGACGGTGGCTTCCGTGTCGGCTTCGCCGTCGCTCCTGCGAAGCTGGCGCACCGCATCGATGACCTTCATCATGCGGCGCACCCTCTTCCCGTGTGCTCCCTGCGAGGCTCCGTCGAGGAGGGTGTGGCGGTCGACGAATCCCGGCTCCCTGAACCTGTCGCACAGACGACGGGTGTCGGCGCTGGTGCACGAGGTCCAGAGGCGCCACGCGTCCTTGACGGTCGTTGCAGTCCGCCAAGGCTGCACTACGTTCAGCTCGTAGCTAGCCTCCTCGACCGTCTGTGGGGGTTTATTGGGTTTGTTGGCTCCTCCACCCCTGCTTGCCGACTCCGCGGAGCCACCGTCGCTCGGCGACTGGTCGTTAGCAGCTGGCGGCGCCTCCGGCATCCTTCGAGCTTCTGAAACGCGGAGAGCCTCGGTGAGGCGTGTTATCTCGGCCGCGAGCGACGCGATGGTTGCGTCGCGATTCTCGATCTTCTCCTCGAGGTCGAGCTTCTGGACCGTTGACCGCTCCCTCTCGAGCTTAAGCGTCTCCGTGAGGGAGACGACCGCGAACTGGGCGTCATGGCGGACCGATATCTCCTGCAATGGTATGCGAATAACGGTGCAGATGAGGGGTTGTAGCGGTCATAGATAACATCGCGACGTCGGCATAAAAGATGACCTACCTCTGGCTGGATGAGGGTTGGATCTTGCCGCTTTTTTATGGTGTCGGTGTCGGTCTTCTCGACCCTCTTCGCCCAGTGCTGGAAGAGGGGAATCCGGCAGAGCTTGGAATACTGGATGTACGGGTGCCAAGGGGTGCGGACGAGTTTCACCGCGAGGTCCTCGGCGACAATGCGGCGGAACATCAGAAGGGTGCGCCAGAAATGCACGGCCGCAACGTCGGCGTCAGGACCCCTTCTTCGCGAGTTCTTCTGCCTGCAGTTAGACATCAGACGGGGGTTATCTCCATGGTGGATAGGACAGTACCATGCAAGATTGGTCGGCACCGATAAACAAACCTTGTTGAGGAGGTCGTCGACGTCGGGGAAGATGTGCTCGGCGATGAGAGCGAGGAGTTCGTCTCCCGGTTCCACCCTACTGCGACCCAAGAAGTAGTCCTGCGTGAATCCCGAATAGCCGGCCTTCTTCATCACCACGCCGACGGGAATGGACGTGATGTAGGCTCGAGTCATCTTGTCGAGAGCCCAGTGACCCAGCTCGGCTATCTCGGCGCGAGGCGTACCTTGGATGGCCAACTCCTGCGCCCCGCCCGCCCGAGCGGCATGGACGTTCCGCTTGCAGAACACCCCGTTCGTCTTCCACATCTGCCTCGTCCATCGCTGGTGGCTGGGAGCTGAGAGTTCGCCCTGCTCGGGGTCGTTGCGGGCGAAGAACAGGTGCTTCTTGTACCAGAGCTCGCGTGTGCTGGTGTCGACCGGCGGAATGAGGTCGACTCCGTGAAACTGGCCGATCTGGTCGAGGACGAAGTGTAACCACAGCCCGGTCTCGCCGACGGCGCACAACTCCGCTTCTAGGTGCCGCGCCGCGTAGCTCTGTTGAAGACGCGCATCCTTCGACGTCTTCGAGTTCCGCGCGGCGACCACCATGACGACCGGCTGGTTATCCGGGTTCACCGACGAGGTGCTCGCCAGTCGGTACAGGAAGATGTCGGGGAGCGTTATCTCGCGTATGCTTGCACCGCGCATGAGGCTGTGGTGGGAGAGCAGCGTGAGCACCTTGATGAGAAGAAACCTCCACAGCGTCTGCGAAGGTGTGGTGAAATGCGGGCTCCATGCCGACGCCGCCCAAGCCGGCAGCACCCTCGTCATTATCTGGCGGAACTGTTCGGCGGTGTATGTGTCGCCGATGGTGCCGCGTCGACGGTCGGCGCATTTACTGTCGACATAACAATATATGGATATGAATATTAGGGCGAGGAAACAAATCGATGGCGACATAACACGGCGATGCATGCCAACTTACTCGAGGTCCCTCTGATTTTTCGTGCGGACCATGACCCGCACCTCCGACCGGACCACCGAGATTTCCCGCATGATGCCCAACTCCTTCTCCTTGAAGAGCGTCGCCTCCACCCTCGCCGCCATCTGGCAGGCCTTGATGCGGCCGAGGATCATGTGCACCGTGTAGGCTCGCACTGGCTCGTTCGTGTCGGCGTCGATCCTGTACTCCCGCCTCATGAACTTGATGTAGGCGCGCAGTCGCGTACTAGTGACCCGGGGGCCGTGCAGCCATATGTGCTTCCGCTTGACCACCTTCTCGTTGTCCCAATCCTTGCTCTTGTTGTTGTGTGTCCAGTGCCCTATCTCGTCGACGTGCCTCATTTGTTCTGCTGTCGGCAGTTTGTCGCCAATTTTTTTAAGCATCTTCGCCGTCCACCTTTTGTAGTCGTATATCCATGAGGTGTAGGACTTGAGCGTGCTCTTGACCTCTATGGTTTTCAGGTGGCGCATTCCCTCCATCACGAGCACGTCGACGCACGCGTACACCATATCTTCCTCTACGAAGTCGGCCGCCTTCCACATTTCTCGAGGGACCGACGTGTGCAGCAGATCCTCAAGCTCGTTCTCGTCCAACAATTCCTCTATGAACGCACGTTCCCCCCTGAGTTTTTCTTCCAACGTGCGCGGACCTGCACCACGTCGGGGCCGCGGGTCGTCTTCGTCGTCCTCGTCGCTCGCCGATGAATAATCGTCCTCATCCTGGTCGCCCGATCCGTCCGGCACAGACGACGGCCCGGCCTCCCCTGCATCCGTCGGCGTCGACGTTTTGCGTGGTTTCGTGAACTCCCCTATCGGCGCGGGCGGAACGTCCTTGGTGAACTCTCCCTGCGGGATTTGGGCCAGGGCGTCGAGATCGTAAAGCAGCGGCAAAGTCGACGAGGGGTTACTGGTCGGTGTACGGTCTACCGGGCGGACGTCCTCATCCTGGCTAGCGGGGTTTATGACGTCCGTCATGTCGACATCGGCGGGGGGTGGGTTGGTTTGCGGCGGTGTCGAACGAGGCTGTCCTCTGGCCATGATACCGCAACCTAGGGCGATAGGAAGTCGGCGTGGTGAGGTCGATAAACTACTTAATGCGTATTCTATGTCGACGGTATCTGGCAGGTCGGGACAGCAGACAATCCTACGAGAGGTCGGCGACCACGTCTGCCTACTATCACGACGCCGACGTTACGCCTCTAGAGAAAATCAAAGTGCCGGCCGTCAAGTCAGTGGTAAAAAAAAAAAGCAATGGCACACACAATGGCAGGCGGAATGAGCGACCATTTCGGGGACCACGGATGGGGATGGTCGTGAGCGACTCCGCACCACTTGGCGCTCCACGCAAACCCCAGTGCACGACGCCGCCATGCATGTACGCTCGTGCGGCGGCGCCGTGTCCGACGTGCCACCAGGCGTGCATGGCTGCTTGCTTGAAGCGCTTCGCTCATCATGCTCTTTTCGTGGCTGCTACACGCTGGCTCTTTCGTGCGGCAACGTGGCGTGGTCCCGAATTAGGTGCACCTCGGTAGGTCGAGGTCGGGAGACACTGCCGTGTGGCACCACGATGATGCTCTTCTGGTCGACGCCGACAGGTCCCGCATCATCAGTGTCCACTGCACGTAGCCATAGATAGTGGACGGCCGGATTTCTCCTTGCGCATGTGAGCAACCGTTGGATGAATGCCGTGTGGTATGCACCGACATTGCCACGTTCATGCGCGAGATTCTCCCAAGCGAAGCACCCCGACCTTCCGTTGGCCCGTCGTGTCCAACCTGGCAGACCTAGGTGGCCCCGCCATCCAGGGGACTATCTCGGGCGTCCCTTTGTGGCCGCGTGGCGATCATCGCGGCCCAACTTGCCGAGCTGGTATCCTGACACGCGGCTGAGACGTCCTTCTCGGGATTGTCTCAGCGGAACTCTAGGTCGACAGGTGGTCGACCATCCCGAGGGCTCACCAGCACCTGGCCCAGCCAGATAGCCTGGGCTTTCCACGCGGAGGTCGTCGTGGGGTCGTCGACCCCGAGGAGGGGGGTTGTCCGTTCTGAACCGCGAAAATGGGCGGCAGTTTTCGTCGGCTGAGCTATATTATGCTGAGGTGCAGACGTGAAGATGCAGCGAACATGTGGAGACACGTGTGGAAAAAGGTTCGTGTCAGATCAGAGAAAGCCCGCCACTTTCCTCCCAAACCGGGCTCACACGCTAGCGTGGAAAAATGCCGCGTCAGACGAAAAAAAGTTGCAGTGCCGACCGAAGCAAGGGGTGGGGTCAGGTCGGGGGGGAAATGAGCGAAACTCTGATATCTTCCCCAATTCGCGGAGGTCTCTAGGCATTCCAAGTTCCAACCCAACCCAGCTTAACCCCACCCCACTTCCAGTCCAGAATTCCAGTTTCACCTCCTGCTGCCACTTCTGCTGCTCCTGTGACCTAGTCACTTGCGAGCAACTAAGCTTGGTGTGACTAGCCTTGCTGCTGCCACTGCGGCCGGAGGGTGGTTGGCGTTGTAGCTGGCCCGTCGTAAAGTGCTCTGAAGCGATTCGCCAGGGTAAACTACAGTAGTAGCTTGGAAGCGCACTCGACTGTGGTCTCGCATTTCGCTTCAAAGCGCACTCTAAAGTAGCAGCTTGGTCCATCACGAGCCGCCATGAGCGGCGTGTTGGAGCTCACCGGTGAGTCCGAGTGCTCGAATCCAGGCTTTCTTCCTGGTCGTTGGGTCGGAGGTTGAGACGGACTCAGGGAGCACCTGAATAAGACACCTGAAGAGTTGGCTGGCTAGTCTTTCGAAATGTCAGAAGTGACTTTTGGGTCGACTCAAAAGTCACCTCGAATGAGTCACCTGGAGAGTTTGCTGGACAGTCTTTTGAAATGTCACCTGTAGTTTCCTGCTCGTGTGCCGAATATTCGCATACACGCCACCCTTTAAGTTTGAGTCATGTTCAGCTTTTGAGTCTTTTTATGCTTTCATTCCCGCAGTTGCATCCCCTACATCGCTTCCTTCTTGTCGTCTTGACGCGCCTCGTCTCGTCGTGTCTCAACTGTCTTTCCCCCCTATCTCCGCCTCCCGTATTTCCGCCATCCTCTATCCGCGCCTATTCCCTATCCGCGAAACTTGGTGCGTGCTGCTTTACCTGCCAGTGGTGGGAGCGTCGGGTCTGAAGGACAAGGAGCTCTTTCTGAGGCGTCTCACACTTGTCTCGTCTCATCCTGTCTCGTCTCGTCTCGTCTCGTCTCGTCTCGTCTCGTCTCGTCCATATCCCATCCTCCCTCTGTCCTGGGATCCCCTTCTCTTCTGTCCTTCTCCGCCAGTGGTGGGAGCGTCGGGTCTGAAGGACAAGGAGCTCTTCACGAAGCAGGACCCGTACGTCGTGGTGGAGTACGGTTCGCAACGGTTCCGCACCAAGACAGATAAAGGTATTCGCGAAAGATTGTGGTATGGGCGATACGTGTAAGGATGTGCGCGCGTGCGTGCGTGTGCGGGCGCAGGCGCGGGCGCGGACGCGGGCGCGTAATGTTGGGAATGTGCGAGAGGTCGTGGGTATGTGCGACAAGGTGTGCGTGAAAGATTGAGGTGTGTGCGAGGGATTCGGGTGCACGCAAGCATTGGATGGTGCGGTGTAACGAAATCGTCTGTAACTTGTGACTTGTGCTTTTGTGAAACCGAAAGAGTGCTCCTTGGAAAACGACGCTGTTGTTACTATCACAGATGCTTCTATCCTTTCCCTTTCCATCCCGATCCTCCCCCATCCTTGTCCCCACTCCCTTCTCCCGCTCCCGCTCGCCCTTACCCTCAATCCCCCCACAACTCCGCCAACCTCGCCACCCACCCTCCCGATTCCCCTTCGCTTTCAATCTGCTAAGATGGCGGCACCACCCCTGCATTCAACTCCACATTCCACCTGCAGTTGCTGCAGGTGTAGAGTTCTCAGCGGTGCTCCCGCCCTCTACTTACCCCCATCCCCCACCCATTCCTCCCCGCAGATGGCGGCACTACCCCTGCATTCAACTCCACGTTCCACCTGCAGTTGTTGCCCGGTGTAGAGGAGTTCTCTGCGGTGCTGTGGAATGACAACCTGGGGCGCGACGATGTGATTGGCAGCTGCCGGGTGAATTTCCGCCAGGCGTTCTCCATGGGCGTGTGGGACATGTGGCACCCCGTCTACACCAAGAGCCAGAAGTGAGTATTCACTGTAGATGTAGTTATTGTGAATTGACTGTAGTTTTTGTTGTCATGCGTTTTCCGTGGCCTCAAGAGGTTTTCAAACATGCTGGGTGTTCTGAACACACCTAATGTCTCGCTTATGTTGCCTGGTTGACTATTTGTTGCCACTGCCTTTGCTGTGTAGTTTCTCTAATGTGATTTCCTGTGATTGGCACTCTTCCCGATTTTGTCTGTCCTTGCAGGCAACGTGGCAGCCTTCATTTGATTATCAAAGCTCCTGGGGTAAGTGCAGGCCCCCCTTTCCTCTTCCCGTTTCCCCCCTCCCCTGTCCCTGTCAACTTCCCCTTCCCGTCGCCCACCCTTTTTTCCCCCATTCATCTTCCCCCATTCACTTTTCTCTGCTCATGCTTATGCCAACGCTTGCTTTTCTGCTTAACCATTCCATATCGAATCGCTTTCCCTTTCCTTCCAACCCATCTCACCACTTCCTCTCTTCTCCCTCACCCCCACCCATCACCCCCCCCCCCCCCCCCCCCCCCCCAAATCCCCACCCCAGGCTAGGGCACCTGGAGGATACCCCCCATCATCATACCCACCTGCACCGTACCCCACCGCACCATACCCCCCAGCCCCAGCATACCCTGCAGGGTCACCTTACCCGCCCCCATCCGGCCCACCAAACCCCTACCCACCCGCTCCAGGCCACCCCGCCCCTCCCCCATCCGCCTACCCTCCCCCATCCTCCTCCGCCCCTCCCCCATCCGCCTACCCTCCCCCAGCCGCCTCCCCCTACCCCCCTGCGTCCTCCTACCCTGCCCCTTACCCCCAGAGCGCACCCTCCCCCTACCCTGCTGCCCACACCGCCCCTCCTGCCTACTCCAAGCCTCCTAGCGTTTCGTCTTCGGTAAACACTGTCCTGGGAGCAGTGGGAGCGCTGGTGGGAACAGCAGCAGCATATGCTGGGCATGGGCATAGTCATAGCCATTACCCCCCTGCGCCCTATGGGTATCCTCCCCCTCCTACTGGTCCGTATGGGTATGGGGCTCCCCCAGTGGTGGTACACCACCATGGGCATCATGGTTACGGGCACCACCATTATAAGCACAAGTATAAGCGCAAGGGGTTTTTTGGCCGCCGCAAGGGGTTCTTCAAATGAGGGAGCCTGATGTCATGATTTATTTAGAAAACGCCTTCATTTCAAATCAGGAAGCTTGATTTATTGTGTACAGTCGATGCTCCTAGGGGTAATGATAAGCGCTTTTGCTTGACTCAACTAGGGTATGTATTCTCGCTTGTCAATCTCAAAACTAGTGTAGCGATGCACTTAAGTGATGTTAAGTTCAACTTTCACACTAGCTTACAGAATCAATTCCACCATCTCCCTGCAGAAGTTTCACTACCAGGGTCCATTCAGCAGCTGCCCTGCAGCTCCTAAAAATCCTCCAAATCATCCTCGTCGTCTCCAAAGGAGAACAATGAAGCATCAGCAGCACTGGCAGCAGCAATGGCAAAGTCACTCGACGGCCCAAAGAACTGAAGGTCCTTCTCCTTGCTCTCCCCTACCCCCACCCCTGCTGCCGCTGCTCCTGGCTTGGCTGCTGTTACTGCTACAGTAGCAGCTTTAACAGCAGGACTGGCAGAACCTGCAGCAGCAGCAGCAGAATTAGCTGCCCCTGCCCCTGCACCTGTCACTGCCCCTAACACACCCCCTGCCCCTGCCTGTGTCCCAGAGCTTGACACATTACGCAGAGGGCTTCCCATGAAGAGAGCAGATGGGTCAGCAGCCACAGCAGACAGAGACGGGCTGGGACTGGGGCTGAAGCTCGGGCTTGGGCTGGTTACCATGCCCTGGTTACCAGCGGTTACCGGGTTGGACGTGCCACGGAGGGGCGACGAGGTTCTCCCAGCCATTCCTGCTGCTCCTGCTCCTGCTGCCGCTGCTGGGCTGGCAGCAGCAACAGCTGCTGCTGTTCCCAGGGAGGTCAGGCTCAGGCCAGAGCCCGCTGGGGACCCAATTCTCCCCAATGCTGCTGCTGTGCCTCCTGCTGCCGCTGCTGCCACGCCTGCTGCAGGTGAGGGAACACCAGGAGCCTCCTCGAGACCGATCAGCGGAGGAGTTTCCCTCCTCTCCTTCCCCACCCTCCCTGTTCCACCTGCTCCACGCCCAGTCCCCACCTCTTCCGTCTCCTCCTCCCCTCGCTCATCATAATCATCATCACTGTCACTGAAGATGTCTGGGTGCATATCCTCCTCCTCCTCTGCCTTTCTTGATTTGCCGGTACCACTACTGCCCTCAAGTGAGTGTTTTGGCCCCCCTGCACCAGCACCAGCACCAGCACCACCAGCACCAGCACCAGCACCGGCACCAGCATGAGCACCAGTGCCGCCAGCAGCAGCGGTTCGAGAGCCAGCTGGGGCTGAGGACGACGCTGGTGCTTGCTGCCTTGCCTTTTGTTGCTGCTGCTGGGGAGTTGCCTGGGGCTTGGCTGTTGCTCCCATCATGAAGCTTTGGAAGGAGGCTGCGAGGGAGAAGCCTGAGGAGGCTGGGGGTGGGAGGGAAGGGAGAGGAGAATGGAAGGGAAGGGAATATTGGAGGGTGTCTTTGAGAGATGTCTACAGTGTCTCAAAAAAAGTGTGGCTGTAGCTCTCATCATGAAGCTCTCGAAGAAGGCTGCAAGGAAGAGCCCTGAGGAGGCTGGGGGTGTGGGAGGAGAGGAGGGTGCAGCAGCAACAGACGAAACAGCACTCCCCTCATCCTGTTTCACTCACCCTTGGTGGCAGCAGGAGCAGGCTTGGAAGCAGCACTGGCAGCACTTGCAGCAGAAGCCAGACCTTTCCCCTTGGCATCTGATCCTGCGCCCTTCCCTGCTGCTGCTGATCTCGCAGCAGCAGCAGATGAACCAGCAGCCGATGAGGTGGTACCAGCAGCAGCAGCAGCAGCAGCAGCAGTAGCGGGGGTTTTCTTCTTGGGTTGCGGCAGGGGGGCATCGTGGTCCAGCAGAATGACCTCCACTTGCAGCCCGGGCGAGGGGAGACGGCGCTGAGGGGAACAGCAAGGGAAGAAGGGTGGGCCGGAGAGGAGCGGGAGGGAGGAGGAAAATGCAAGAGACGGTTATTACCGGGCAGGGGAACGTCGTGGTCTTGCAGAATAACCTCCACTTGCAGGCCAGGTGATGGGAGACAGCGCTCCGGGGAGCAGCAAGGGAAAGAGAGCGGAGAAGGGGGGGGGGAAGGTGGGGGAGGGAGGGGGAAGATGCAAGAGTGGGTCCATGCATTGCAAGGGGGCATCGTGGTCGATCAGAATAAAATCCACTTGCAACCCAGGTGATGGAAGACAGCGCTGCGGTTAAGATAGGAGAGGAGAGGAGAGGAGAGGAGAGGAGAGGAGAGGAGAGGAGAGGAGAGGAGAGGAGAGGAGAGGAGAGGATTAGCGAGATGTTTGAAGGCTTTGGGTGCGCTAGGGGAGCGTCATGGCTACAGCTCATTTCTAGATCTCTCCCACCCACCTCATTCACTCCCTGTACCCCTCCCCTTCTTCCCCCGCTTCCCCCCTCTCTGCCTCATCACCTGTAACCCTCCTCTGTGCTGCGCCCCTCACCTTGTCAAAGTTGTCGAATTCTTCACACGGAATGACAAGGCGGTTGGGAATCATGCCTGTGTTAAGCCAACTGGGGAATGTGGGAAAGGGGCGAGAAGAGGAGGGCCAATAAAATGGAAACCGGACAAAAAGAGAGAAACGGAAAGAGGAGGGAAGACATCAACAAATGAGAATCAGGGAAAGAGGAGCGACACAGGGCAGCGAATGGGGAGCTGGTTGGGATCATGCCTGTGTTAAGGTAGCTGGGGAATACGGGACGAGAAGGGTAGGGCCAACAAACGGGAGAGTCAGGGAGAGAGGCAGGCAGGGCAGGGCAGGGAGGAACAGAACGAGAACGATGTTGGCAGGCACGTCAGCCATAACTGCTAACATCAGGGAGGGAGGCACGTCAGCCATAACTGCTAACATCAGGGAGGGAGGCACGTCAGCCATAACTGCTAACATTAGGGAGGGAGGCACGTCAGCCATAACTGCTAACATCAGGGAGGGAGGCACGTCAGCCATAACTGCTAACATCAGGGAGGGAGGCACGTCAGCCATAACTGCTAACATCAGGGAGGGAGACACGTCAGCCATAACTGCTAACATCAGGGAGGGAGGCACGTCAGCCATAACTGCTAACATCAGGGAGGGAGGCACGTCAGCCATAACTGCTAACATCAGGGAGGGAGGCACGTCAGCCATAACTGCTAACATCAGGGAGGGAGGCACGTCAGCCATAACTGCTAACATCAGGGAGGGAGACACGTCAGCCATAACTGCTAACATCAGGGAGGGAGGCACGTCAGCCATAACTGCTAACATCAGGGAGGGAGGCACGTCAGCCATAACTGCTAACATCAGGGAGGGAGGCACGTCAGCCATAACTGCTAACATCAGGGAGGGAGGCACGTCAGCCATAACTACTAACATCAGGGAGGGAGGCACGTCAGCCATAACTGCTAACATCAGGGAGGGAGGCACGTCAGCCATAACTGCTAACATCAGGGAGGGAGGCACGTCAGCCATAACTGCTAACATCAGGGAGGGAGGCACGTCAGCCATAACTGCTAACATCAGGGAGGGAGGTCAGAGGTGAAGGGAACGAGAACGATGTTGGAAAGCACGTCAGCCATAACTGCTAACATGGGGCGCAGCACAGAGGAGGGTTACAGGTGATGAGGCAGAGAGGGAGGGAGGTCAGAGGTGAAGGGAACGAGAACGATGTTGGCAGTCGTGGCTGACATGAAGAAAACTACTATCTCACCAGTAAAAATCTCCGTTGCGGTCGATGAATTTGAGGCAGAAGTCGCCCTCCACGGGGGCCACTCCACGCTCGCCAGGCAGCGCGAAGACCCCTTGTTTGTTCCCTACTACTTCTTTTCCTTACTACCCCTAGTGTCCTCTCACCAGTAGAAATCCCCGTTGCGGTCGATGAATTTGAGGCAGAAGTCGCCCTCCACAGGGGCGATGCCGCGATGCTCAACCCTGCCTCATACTCCTCAAGGGCATGTGGAGAAAAGCCCTTTCTCACCAGTAGAACTCTCCGTTGCGGTCGATGAATTTGAGGCAGAAGTCGCCCTCCACGGGGGCCAATCCACGCTCGCCAGGCAGGGCGAACACCACAACGCCCTCCCTCTGTGTCGACTGGTGCCACATGTCATCCGGCTATTGGTGGAGGGACGGACGGCAGCAGAGAGGGGGGGAGGATGGTGAGGGTTCCTATCTATGGAGAGAAGGGTTGGGAATTCTCAGAGGTGAGAGAAACGTAGCTACAAGGTAGCTTGTGCTAACGAACTTCATGTGGCCTTTAAACACATATTTCTTATTCCCTTCCTTTTCAGAAAAAAATGGGGTTCTGCGCGCACAAGAGAGAGACAGTTAGGGCTCTCACCATGAAGTCTTTCGTCTTTGGATGCTTGCGTGAGTTGAAAAGAACACCTGCCAGGCATCGCCACAACCATGCATGTCAAGAAACAAAAAGGCGGCGTGATTTGAGACGCCTTGAAGCCAGAGGACGCTTGGCAGGAAACACAGCCACGGAAGTCCAGAAAAGAGACAAAGGCTGAGCAAACTTAAGGGGACAGCTGGCATTGCTGCCGCCACAACAACGCATGTCGGGAATGGAGACAGGTTTGGAACAGTTCAAAACCCATTCAAATCGGGAATCCTGGCATTTTAATCATGTACATACTCGGCATGGGAAATCGCTTGAAAGTGATCAACACTGCAGAATCGCATGACACGTGAATGCACCTGATTGGTCGGAGACGACAATGGCAGGTCGCACCCAGTAGGGGCAGCGATGAATGCGAAGGCCACGGATGTGACACCTGGCACAATGGGATTGGATGCGGTCGGATCGAATTCGGTTGCACAAATAATCCCTCTAGGCTGGCTCATTGCGAAACCAGAATCTGGCATGGCTCATATTAGAATCGGTTGATATGAGCTGATTCATTTATTGTGAGGGAAGACTTTCTGCTACCGGTAACTCACGAAATGCGTTGATGTGTGATTCCTGTGTGCAGATGGCTTAATCCCTGACTGTGTTGACTTGTGAGTCAACTCATAAGTCAAATGGCTTAATCCTGACAGTGTACTTACTTGCGGGGTGGGGGGATGATTCCGTGCCTGACCCTGAGAATCTCTTCAAAATACTTCACGTAGCGCTGGTGTGAAGGAGTGGTGCGGGATACACATGGGTGACCAGGGGTGCAAGGCGGTACAAAGACGGGGTCTAACCCTGAGAATCTCTTCAAAGTACTTCACATAACGCTGGTGTGAAGGAGTGGTTTGACGGAGGGGTGTGTGAGGAGAGCGAGAAAACGATGTGAGGACAGGTGAGAGGAGAGGTGGCTTCTGAGGCAGATGGGGGGAGCAAAAAAATAAAAACAGCTTGGAGCAAAATCTTGAGTCACTTTGGTGCAAAATCTGTGTAATGAGGGCATGGCAATGAGGGCATGGCAAGCAATGAGGGCATGGTAATGAGGGCATGGTAATGAGGGCATGGCAATGAGGGCATGGCAATGAGGGCATGGCAATGAGGGCATGGCAATGAGGGCATGGCAATGAGGGCATGGCAATGAGGGCATGGTAATGAGGGCATGGCAATGAGGGCATGGCAATGAGGGCATGGCAATGAGGGCATGGCAATGAGGGCATGGCAATGAGGGCATGGCAATGAGGGCATGGCAATGAGGGCAGCAGAACAAACCTTCTGGCTGGGCAGCACAAACTTTCTGGCTGGGCAGCACAAACTTTCTGGCTGGGCAGCACAAACTTTCTGGCTGGGCAGCACAAACCTTTTGGCTGGGCAGCACAAGGGCCTTTCCATCGGTGCATCGCTTGGCGTTGAAATAGTTAATCGCCTCGTCTGCTGTTGCATAGTACTGTGGAGGGGTGATGATGGGGGGGTGGTGCAAAATTGAACGGGAGTGAGGGAATGTGAAATGCGATTGCCTCGCCTGCTGTTGTGTAGATTCGTGTTGGCAAGAGGCAGGGGAGAAGGTTCAGCAGGGGAGGGGCGCACATTGAGGAAGAGCAGCAGAGAGGACGCCATAAGGCCTGAGCGGAAAAAGAAAGGATTCGAACTGCAGCAATGCAACAGTGGGCAAAACCCTTATTAAGAACATCTCTGCTGAGCCGTATTAAGACGTACGTTGAGGAAGAGCAGCAGAGAGGAGGTCATGAGGCCTGTGCGACCGAGCCCCTCCTTGGAATGAATCACGAGCATGCGATCACTCCACTCTATAGGGCTGTTCTCATGCCTGTTCTCATGCTGCGCTGTACTGCCCTCATGCACCACACCACTGCTGCTGCTGCCCTCGTGGACACTGGCTGCAGCAGATGATGATGCTTCTGATGCTGATGCTGCTGCTTCTGAATTTCCCCCTGATGTGCCAACATTGGCAACACTGCCACTGCCACTGCCGCTCCCTGCATCAGCCTTCTCAACGTCCTCTCCTGTAGCACCTCCCACCATCTCCTCCGCTTTTACCTTTTCCTCTCCTTCCTGCTTCCTCTCCTCTTCTGCCTCTCCTGACCCTCTCTTGCCCCCCCTCCTTGCCCTTTCCTTCATCCTCTCCCTCTTGCTTCATTCCCTGCTTCTCCTCCTGCCTACCCTCCCCCTCCCCCTCCCCCTTCTCCTTCCCCTCACCTGTCTTCCCCTCCTCGCTCGTCCGTCCCCCCACAATCGGCTTTCTCCGATCTTCTGAGGCACTCAGCCACGCCCGGGCAGTCAAGCAAAAGTTTAGGATGATGGGCAGGGGCGGCACCTGCCCCTCGGGAACGGGGAACGCCCCCACACGGCCGTGGAAGACCGATGGGTCGTACTGGTACAAAGGCTCTGCGCATAGGTTGATGATCATGTAGCGACCCTGGGAGTTGAGGGGAGAGAGAAAGGGGGCATGAGGAGGACAGGAGGAGAGGAAGGCGCGTGCCCCTTGGGAATGGGGAACGCCCCCACACGGCTGTGATAGACTGAGGGGTTGTACTGGTAGAGGGGCTCTCAGCACAGGTTGATGATCATGTAGCGACCCAGGGATGAGTGAGGGAGCAGGGGGGGTTACAAGAGAAGCAAGCATGGCTAGGGAAGCGGAGGGAGAGCATGGGGCAGAGAGCCTGGGCTAGCACCCTGTAGTCTAGTCTCCTCCTGCGACCCTGGAAGATTGAGGGGTGATACTGGTAGAAGGGCTGTGATGTGAGCACAGGTTGATGTTCATGTAGGGACCCTGCGGGGTGAGGGGATAGGCACGGCAGGATGGACATGACGAGGTGGCCAGTGGTACTAGAGTAGAGTATTTGGGATAAGATAGGCCAACAAAGCTAAGAACAAAGCTAAGCGCCACTCTAGTACTCAAGTGCCCATCAAGTGAAGTGCCACTGGACTGGAAAGCGTTCCACTAGAGTAAGAGTCAGCAGAGTGAGAGGCACTAGAGTAAGAAGCACAGGAGCGGGAGTGAGAGTTTGAGCAGACCTTGTGGTACGTCTCGAGGAAGTGAAGCACATCCGTGACATGGTTGCGGTAGAGACCCTGGTCGCATGCAGGGAGCGAGGAAGGGGAGATGGTGGAGAGGAAGAGGGAAGAGAGGGGAGAGAAGGGAGATTGGGCACTGAGGGACATGGACTTCTGAGGCGCCTCAAAAGAAGGGAGATTGGGCACTGAGGGACATGGATGATTTTCGAGGAAGTGAACCACGTCTGTGACATGGTTGCAGTATAGACCCTGGTCACATGCAGGGAGCGAGGAAGGGGAGAGTGGGAGTAGGGAGCGGGAGAGAAGGGAGATTGGGTACTGAGGAGGAAACATGGATATGTTGAGGAAGTGAAACCTGCCTGTGACCCCTGCACTCACTTCTGCATTCCTGTAGGCATTAAAGAGTATTCATGCACACTCCATTCATCCATAGAATCACGCACCTCCACCATGCTCATGATGCCGGCATTCGTGCGTGCAACAAACAGTCTTTATGCACACATGCCCATCACGCATCCCCAATGGTCACACTAAAGCAGCACCCACCTCCACCATGCTCATAATGCCGGCATTCGCATCGCCGCCAGCAGTCACGGGTAGAAAATGAATCTTTGAGACGTATCAGAAATTCACTTTCTACACATGCCCATCATGCATCCCCAATGGTCACACCAACACAGCACCCACCTCCACCATGCTCATGATGCCGGCATTCGCATCGCCCCCAGCGGGAAACCCCATGGCAATGACCCCAGCAGTGATGTAAGTCATATCCAGGTCAAACCCACCCTGTTGAAACCGCCTCTTGCTATGCGACGCCAGTCCACACATACCGCAACACATGCGCCACCACACGCACCGAACACACGCAGCCATATATGCACCACTACATGCACGCGCGCACGCTTACTACCCATCCAAACCCACCTCCACCATGCTCATGATGCCGGCATTCACGTCGCCCCCAGCGGGAAACCCCATGGCAATGACCCCAGCAGTGATGTAAGTCATATCCAGGTCAAACCCGCCCTGCTGGAACCGCCTCTTGCCATGCGACGCCATGTGCTTCGCCTGCGTCTGTATCGCCTTTGCTGCACTCTGCGACCGCTCCACCAGCCCCTTCGTCCTATCCTGAATCACCTTCGAACCGTCCTGTAACACCTTCGTACCGCCCGCAATCCCTTTCTTCCCCTCTTCCACCCACTCCATCGTCCCTTCAACAATCTCCTTCCTCCCTTCCTCCACCAACTCTTTAGTCGCCTCCATCAACCCTCTCGTCCCTATCACAAACCCCTTAGTACCTTCACCTACAAGCTCCTTAGTCCCTTCGACCAGGCCTTTAGTCCCATCCAATAAACCCTTCTTACTCTCCTCCACCCACCCCCTTGTACCCTCCATGAATCCCTTAGTAAAAGACCCAAGGGCTTGGCTTGCAGTCGCGGCGGCTGCTGCTGCTGCCGCTGCCGCTGCTGCGCCTGCAGCTGCTGCTTGCTCCTGCGCCTGCGCCTGTGCACGAGCTGTCGCCTGTGCCTTAGCCAGCTTCTCAGCCTTTAACTGAGCCTGCCTTTGTGCTTTAGCCTCTGCTTCTGCTTGCTTCTCTGCCTCTTTCTCTGCCTGTTCTTGTGCCTCTGCCTCTTCCCCTACCCCTGCGTCACCCTCTTCTGAGGCAATCGCTTTCCCCTTGTCAGCAGAACTCAGCCTAATGCCTCCTCCTCCTCCCTCCGACCCTGCCTCTTCGCCTATTTCCCCAGCAGCATCATCACCAGCACCAGCATCATCACCAGCACCAGCACCATCACCAGCACCAGCACCATCACCAGCACCAGCACTCCCACTGCCACCCTTGGTCTCCTCCCCATCCTCCTCCTCATCGCCCTCACTACCCAGGGCATCCATGACAGCAGCAAACGCCGCTTCTGTATCTTCATCCGCGTCCTCCCCTGCTGTCGCCGCCCACTCTAATATTTCCGCCACTAAGTCATCCCCCCCGTCAACGTGCCCCCACCTCCCCCGCTTCCCCTCCCTCCTCCCCCTCATTCTCTGCCTTCTGAGTCACCCCCTCCTTCCCAACCGCTCCTTCCGCCTTCACTTTCTCCACCTCCACTTCCTTCGTTTCTGCATCTCCCGCCGTCCGCCCCTCCTCCCGTGTTTCTGTCCCTGGCCCTTTCTCTCCTTCGCCCTCCTTTACTCCTCCTCCCTGTGCGCTCTCTCCTGCAACACTGCCTCCGGCCACCACTGCTGCTGCCACCTTCCCTTCTCCCTTCCCTTCTGCCTTGCCTTCTCCTTTCCCTCCACCCGTCTTTCCTCCCTTTTCACTACCATCCCCCTTTCCGATCCCCTCTGCACCCGCACCAACCCCACCTGTTCCACCCCGCCTCTCCCCACCCCTCCCTCCACCACCACCCCTTCCTCTCCCCCTGCCCCTCCCTGCACCAGGAACAGCAGCAGCCGGAGCAGGAGCAGCTGAGACCGAGAACGACTGCCACAGCTGCTGCATCCCAGCCGCTGCTGCTGCCGCCGCCTCTGCTGCTGCCTGCCTGCCACTGCCGCTCCCGCTCCCACTCCCACCGCTCGCACTGCCACTGCTACTCCCTCCAGGCGCGCCCGTGCCCTTCTCAGAGAGCGACGTGAAGAACGACCCCAGGGCAGCGCGCGCGTTCTCCTGCAGCTTCTCCGCGCTTTTCAGCACCTCCTTGGCGGACTCCCGCACTGCTGCGCTGTCCACTGCCGCTCCCCCAACTAGCCCGCCCAGCCCTGCTGCTCCGCCTGATGCGCTGCGCACCACTGGAACCCCTCCCCCTCCTTCCCCTGCTGCTGCTCCGCCAACTCCCGCTCCTGCTGCTGCTGCGCCTCCAGGCCCAGCAGTAGCACCAGACGTGCTTGTTGTCCCACCTGCGCCTTCTTTTCTCCCTTCTCCTCTTCCTCGTCCTCGTCCTGCTGACCCACTGGCACTACCCCCCTCACCTCCACCTGCTCTCCCTGTCGCAGGGCTTGGCGAAGAGTCAGGCGAAGGGCTGGCGAGCGACGAACGAAGCGACTGCAGGCCCTTGGAGAAGAGCGAGTAACCGGGTAACGCCTGCGCCTGCTCCAGTAGTGAGGCCGGCGGAGCAGATGCCTCAGCGGTGTACCGCCTTACCGCGTCAGACGCTGGTTTCGCGGACCTACCGCTGCTGCTGGTAGTCCTAGTAGCTTCCCTACCTCTTCCCCTTCCTCCGCTTCCCCCTCGGCCGCTTCCCCCTCCGCGCACCTCGCTTCCCTGCGCTTCACCATTTCCGCCCCTTCCGCCAGCCGTTGCGCCGTCCTCCCGCCTCTCCGCAACGCCTTCGCTGCGGCGAGCAGGGCCCGACGACGTGGCAGGATCACGATCAGAATCAACCGACGGTGCCACGTCAGAAGGAACTGGCTGAACGTCGGAACCAGCAGAAATGGGACCGCTTGCGTCTCCTGCTGACGAGGATACGGGCGTGTCTGACGCCACTGGTGTACCGTCTGCTGCAGCTGGCGATTGGTCAGACTGTACCGTGGTGGTGGATGCGAGTGCCGCAGAGCTCCTGACAGGCTCCGCATCCGCTGGTGCAGGCGTATCTGACGCAGGCGTATCTGATGAAGCGGAGTCTGGCGCAGGTGTCGCCTGTACCGAAGTTGTTGCATCTGCCGGTGGGGTATCCGTCGCAGAAGGTTCGTGCGACAATTCCGCAGCTGACGAATCCATGGCTCCGGATCAGTCCAAAACCGACTTCTTTAAGAGAGATCCTTCAGTTCGAGCAACAAGTTTTACTACTCAACAAAAGGAAGGAGGCTGATAGAGGGTGATACTTGAGTGAGTTCTTCAATGTACGAAAATGCGTTTACTTCAAAAAAGGAAGGTTGAATAAGCCAACCGGACACGACAAACATGTCCCACAACTGAGCTATGTCAATGTCTAGAGGATGATAAAATTCTCGTACTACAAATGCTTCTCTTCTGTTGGCCTTCTGCTGATGTCACTGGCAACCAAATTCCAATACTGTAGGCGGGGAGATCCCAAGGTCAGGGGAAACGGAAGGGCAGCTAAATCTTAGCGTCAAGAAGCGGCGAATGTCTGCGATCCTTTTTCGAGCCTCAGGTAACACGGCGAAGGCGTCTAGAAGGCTGGTGTCAGCTGATCGGTTTGAACCCGATTCGTGGCTCGTTACAATGCTTGTACTGATGTTCTCAATTCTTGATGTGTATGATAACTGTACGAATAATCAAACGCTTTCTCAAAACCGAGGAACTCTGGGACTCCCCCACAATAGATTGCGCACAGGGACATAATTTCCTCAACCTATTTCAAGCTCACTCCGTAATGCGCCGCGAACTGTGATCCCTTTTCGGCTTGGTCGCCACGACTGGCGATCAATGCAGCTGCGATTGCGAGCTTGAAATATTGAAGTCACGCTGGGGGATCAAAACAAACACAGTTGCACCAATCAACTCGCGAGACGAGGGATGGCACTGGTGCTGATTTGCGGCCAGCCGTGCAGTGGCAAGTCTACAGTAGCGAGGCAGCTTGTAGCGTCTCTCGAGGCTGCTATTAACGAGCAGCAGAATAGCACTCCCGGCGATTAGAAGATTAAGTGTGGTCCTCCTAGGCGAGGAGCATCTTCACATAGGACCGCGACGATGGCTATCAAAGTACGTAATTTATTCTGCAGGGGGTTTCTGGGAGTGTTCTAAATTGGGGTACTGTTACTGTCACTGTCACACGAGTTACAAGTTCTTACTCATTCGCTGCGTTACACCAGTCAACCCTCGGTGAATTCTCATTCATCCCTCGGTCAATCCCGGTCAATTCCCGGTCAACCGTGCAGATATGGTGGCCGAGAAGAATCTGCGAGGATCGCTGCGATCGGAAGTGGATCGCGCGGTCGGCAAGGATCGAATTGTGATCGTTGATTCGCTGAACGCCATCAAGGGGTACCGATACGAGCTGTGGTGCCTGGCACGTGCTGCTGCCACCAAATACTGCGTGGTGAGTGCGATGCAGTGAGTGTGAGCGGTTTGTCTGCGTTGTGAGCCTGTGAATAACCTTATTTTGCATCCCTTTGCATCCCTCTGCACCCCCCTATCCTTCCCCTTCCCCTTCCCCTTTTTCAACCCCCCGCTCCCCCCATTTCGCCAGGTGCATTGCGACGTGGCGGCAGAGACGGCAAGGGAGTGGAACGACAGGCGCAGAGACGCGGGAGAGCCCTGCTACGCTCCCCATATGTGAGTGCGGAGATAGTTGGTTCGTGGGAGCTTTTGTTGGGATCCTTCTGAGAGTCAGCCAAAGCAGGGGAGTCCTGCCACTTTTCCCTACAGCCCTGGAGCCCTAATTTGCCACTTTTCCTATATTCAATTTCACTATTCTTCTCTCTCCCCCTTGCTCCGAACTTCCCCCGCCCTGCTCTCTCTCCTCCTCATCCTCCCCTCCGCAACCACCCTCCACCCCCCGCCCCCCTTCCCATCTATTCCGTTCACCAATTCTCTTCACCACGCCATCCCTTCCCCCCCTTTCGCCATGCCACCCCTCTACTCATCTCTGCCCGTTATCAGTTTGGAGGATCTGTTGGGTCGATTCGAAAGGCCGGTGGGTCGCAATCGCTGGGACTCGCCCCTCTTTGAACTTCATCCTGCCGCCGGTATGTGATGCAGCCAGTGGTATTTGATGCAGCCAGTGGCATGCAATGCAGGCAGGGATATTCAAAGGAATGCATCTGATGATAACCGGATGTGGATTCAGTGGTAAGTGTTGAATGGTGAAGGGCAAGTGGTGGATCGTGGGTTGTGAGACTCCTGGTGGACACAAGATGCAGAGGCTGTCGGAGTGTCGCTCCTCTAAACTGTCTTTTAACAGCTGCTTGAATACCCTTCTTCCTACCCGTAATCCTCGTGCTGCCAGAGCAAGCGGCAGAGGCGGCAGAGCAGGTTATAGGCGAGGTGGTGACACTGCTTGTGGGTGGAAGCGGAGCAGCAAACGGACGGGGGCGAGCAGGCAGGGCGTTGCAACCAACAGTTGCCACTCAGACAGTGAGCCCCCTCCTGACAGCACACCTTTTTCATGAATCGCATCACATGGCATGCACACAGATTTCACTCACCTGCTCATTCACAAGTGAGCTAGCCAATTATAGCACTGCAGCCCTTGGCTTCGAGTGCTATCAACTTAATGAGTCTAACGCTTGATGAAATTTCCCTTTGTCTTTGATGGTGCAGGCTACAGCGTCAGATGCCAACGTGCTGTATGAGATGGACCGGGCCACAAAGGTAAGGAAAAGATTGAGGGTACATTCTGCTGTGGACACATGTCCCAATCGACGTGTCCCAATCGAGTGTACCGCTCCGAACCGAACTAAACCAGAGACGCGAAAATTTCAAAACTAGGGTGCAATTTGGTGTAATACGATGCAGTGCGGTAGAAACGATTGGGACACATCGATTGGGACATGTGTCCACAGCAGAATGTACCCTGAGGGTTCAGGTGGTCCGAGGTGGTGCTGTCTGTTGTACACCATGCCTGCTGGGCTGGGCAGTATGCTGATCGCTTCATTACTTGACAGCGGATTTCTTTCCCCTCGCCTCCCTTTCCCGCTCTCCCTTCTTTCCGAAGCACACATACGCTTGCACACGCGCATGCGCTCACACACACACCTCTTACATACTGATCGTTCTCTTCCCCTGTGACTTTCTTTCTTTCCCAGGAGGTGATTTCCGCCGTGATGGATGCTCAGGCATCGCTAGGAGGCGCCTCATCACCATTCACAGTAGATTTGGGACCTAGTAACAACATAGTATTACGGCGGCCCGTTGGTCTTCCGGAATTGCAACGGTTGCGTAGGACATTTGTTCGCCTGGCTGGGCAAGCTGCTTTGTCTGGAAATGCACCGCCCAAGGATGCAGAGTCGGCAAAAAGATTCTTTGCTGAGTACATTGTTCGAGAGGTTAAATGAAACCTCGTTAAATGTGTAATGTGGTATTTCCTGAGTTTATGTTTAAGCTAATGCCTTTCTGTATGCCTCCCCTTGTCAAGATTCTGCTGAAATACCAATGGCAAAGCTTGTGTGTGACTCCACAGCTGGTAGATTTCTATGTACCGTATTCTCCCGGACATAACACCCTAGGGTATAGCTAAAAATACAGGGAAAAAATGGGGGGGGTCTCCTCATAGGAAAAAAATACATAATACCCGGGTCTTTACATATGGCATATTTTAGTGTTAGTGTTTTTTTAATTAGTCAATGTGGGTGTTTTGCTGGTCGTTTTAGCATCACTGCCTGAGGCGCGAATGTGAGTTTCGGCCTCGAACTTCATCGCCCCCACGAAAATGGCATGTGGCACCTCTCTTGCCACTTGCAACGGAAGATTCTGTCAGAATGAGGAATGGTGTTTCCATTGATGTTGGTTGGGGTACATATGACAAACCCTAACTTCTGTACCCCCTAAGACAATCCTCACTACAGGCTACAACATTTGACACACCCCCATAGCCTAAGTGAGGGGTGTCTAGCAAAATCAAAAAGAGTACGGTCACAAGACCAGTCCAAAAGAAAACAAAGCTCAGGGTGGATCACAACGTCACCACACACTCTGAGCACAGGCAACAGTGGCCACAAGGCCAGTCCAAGAGATCACAAGTATATATAGCAAGTGTACAGACGAAGCAGGCAATAAACTCAAGCCTACACATGACTAGAACCTGTGTCAACAAGGCCTAACTGCACACAACACCTCTGGTGGTCACAAGGCGGAAGCGCCTTGGTGAAGATGTCTGCAGTGTTGGCCTCGGACTCCACGAACTCGAAGCGAGCCTGTCCACGTCTCTGCAACTCTCGCAGAAGAAAGTACCTGACGTGAATGTGCTTCACTCTGCTCTCCAGTCGCGGCTCACGACAGAGGAGGATCGACGCCTTGTTGTCAGTAAACAAGGTCGGTGCAGAGCTCGGCCGCTCACCAAGGTCGGCGAGCAAGAAGGTCAACCACCGCAACTCCTGTGCCGCCATGGCACCAGCGTAAATCTCAGCCTCAGCTGTAGAGGTCGAGACAGAAGAGGAGCGCGTGGAACGCCAGGAAACAGCTCCAGAACCCAGACTGAAACAGTACCCCTGAGTAGACCTGTGAGTCTCAGCGTCGTCAGCGTAAGAGGAGTCACAGTGACCAGTGAGTACGACAGACTGCTGCCCTCCAAGAACTAGCCCCACGCCTGATGTAGTCGCTAGGTACTTCGCCACCCTCACAGCTGCCATCCAGTGAACAGGACGGTGTCTCCCTGGCGCAACAAAGCGCGCAAGGATGCTGAGAGGGAAGGCGAGGTCCGGGCGAGTACAAGTCATCAGGTACATGAGGCAACCCACAAGCTCTGCGTACGGACCACTAGGCTCAAACGGCTCGTCAGGAAAGGGACCAGTGAGTCTGTGGTCAACAGCGAGAGGTGTGCGCTGTACGGTGGAGTGCTGAAGCCCGAACCGCTGAAGGACCTGCTGCACCATGTGTGACTGTGAGAGTGTAATGGTGCGAGCGGCTCTGTCCCTGGTGATCTGCAGGCCAAGGTAGTGGCGCAGCTCACCAAGATCAGTGCACGTGTGTCTCTTCTGCAGTTCGGACTTCACGTCTGCCAAAGCAACCCTGTCCGGAGTGGCGAAAACGAGGTCGTCGACGTAGACCAGAACAAAGAACGGTGTGGAGCCACGACGAACGAACAGCGACGGGTCGGCAGAAGACGGCTGGAACCCAAGGTCAGAGAGGGTAGAACGCAGAGTGTCGTGCCACTCGCGAGGGGCCTGGCGAAGACCGTAAACAGGTCGCCTCAGCCTCCACTGGGTCCCAGGAGGGAAAGTGCCAGTGAAAGCCGAGGGACGACGCAACCAGACCTCCTCGTGTAGGCTGCCCTGAAGGAAAGCAGTGGAGAAGTCGAGAGAGTGTAACTCGTAGTCTCTCTGTGCTGCTACGTGTAGTAACACCCGAAGAGTGGTCATCTTCGGGGTAGGTGCGAAGGTCTGAAAGAAGTCAACTCCCTCGCGCTGACTGAAACCTCTAGCCACGTAGCGCGCCTTGAAGACCGGGGGAGATCCCGGTGGCCGCTTCACCCTGTAGATCCACATGCCGTCGACTACGTTCGCCCCAGGGGGGGGAACCTCATCGACGTAGGTGCCTGTGGATCTGTAGGAGGCCATCTCTGCGTCCATGGCAGCTCTCCACTGAGAGGCCCAAGGCCGTGACACTGCCTCAGCGTAAGTGCGAGGAGTCGGAATGTCAAGGGCGTCGGGGTCACCCTCAGGGGCGAGGAGCATGGCACAGAGATGAGGGGAAGCGGCCGCCAGGAAATCTAGCTCAAACTGCCTGTCCTCTAGGGCGTCACAGCCAAGGGCAGACACACCCCCGACGGCCAGAGGACTGGTAGGAGGAGCAGCCACAAGCGTGGTGGCGTAGTCAAGGCGGCGGGTAGCGGGAAAGGGCGGGAGCGACGCGACGGGGAAGGGCGACGCGACGGGACAGGGCGACGCGACGGGGCAGGGCGACGGGACGGGGCAGGGCGACGCGACGGGGTAGGGCGACGCGACGGGACAGGGCGACGGGACGGGACAGGGCGACGGGACGGGGTAGGGCGACGCGACGGGACAGGGCGACGGGACGGGGGGGGAACAGGCGGGCACGACGCGACGGGGGGAACGGGCGCGACGCGACGGGGGGAAAGGGCGTGACGGGGGGGGGGGAAGGGCGCGACGCGACGGGGGGGGGGGGGGGGGGGGGCGCTAGGCGACGGGGAGAAAGGGCGCTAAGCGACGGGGGAAAGGGCGCTAGGCTCGGTAACAACGGAACTGGTACGAACGAGAGGTAGGATCAGGCTCGGGAGGTACGAACGGAGAACGGAGGAACGGGATCCCACAGGATCCTAACCTAGCTGATACCATGTCAGAATGAGGAATGGTGTTTCCATTGATGTTGGTTGGGGTACATATGACAAACCCTAACTTCTGTACCCCCTAAGACAAACCTCACTACAGGCTACAACATTTGACAGATTCACCTGCACGTGGCGACAGAGAAATAGTGGGAGGGGCAAATCTCGGCAGATTGCCTTTGAATGTACCGCGAAATTTCATCGAGGGAGAAATTCACACGATATTCTTCCGTATTGCAGCTACTCGTTAACGACTGTAATAATGAATCCGTAAGAAAAGGGGGGTGTTATAGAAAATCAGCCAAAAAGGGGGGTATAGTAGAAACGAGGTCTATCATAACACCCACCCCGCACAAGCTACCCGGGGGTGTACAATTATGGGGGGGTGTTTTGTCCGGGAGTATACGGTAGTAGTTTGGTTTGGCTGCTAGAAACACTATGGTTGCACACAATATGTTAAGGGGGGATAAACTATTCATTCCGAACAGTACATTCCAGCTCACCCTTCTCCTTATCTTCTCAGATTCTCTAGTGCCACGTGGCACTCTACTTTTCTAGCTTCACAATTCCTAGTCCCACAATCTACTTTCCAACCTTGTTTCTTGCATGCTACTTAAACCTTGCTTGTACTTGCCATTATCAATCAATTCTCATTCAACTCTTCTTCAATTACTCAGTAAGGGTACATTCCGCTGTGGACACATGTCCCAATCGATGTGTCCGGCAGTCAACTTCAAGGATGCACGCATGGTAGATGGGACGCCGCTTCACATAGGACCAATCATCCGCAAGTTGCGCGTAGTGCTAGGACCGATCACAGTTAGGCGTGATTTCGACTCTGCGACGCTGGACGGATACGATTTTATTTTCGGGAGAGATTGGCTGTGCACGGTTAGTACTCAGTTCGATTGGGCTCAGGGAAGCTGCAGCGTCAAGGTAGATGGCGAGTTCCGGGAGCTGCCACAGTGGAGCGATGCGGCCACATCCTCCACAGCTATCATTAAGGCTGTTCGTGTGCGACAGTTAGTGAAGCGTGCGGCGCGGATCTTTGCGGTTTTCCTTGAGAAGGTGGAAGCTGAGGAGGGGAAAGGAGGGAGTGCAGCAGTTGGTGCGAAGGCGACTCTTCCTGCTGAGGTGAGTCCACTATTAGCAGAGTTCGCAGACGTCGTCCCCGACGAGTTGCCCCCAGGATTACCTCCCAGCCGCGCAGTAGACCATCGAATAGAGTTGGAGCCGGGGAGCAGGCCAGTAGCAAAGCCGCAGTGGAGGTTGAGTCCAGCGGAGGAGGAGATGACGCAGTAGGTTAGAAATTTTCTCGCGCAGGGTTTCATACAGCCATCTAGATCGCCTTGGGCAGCACCGATCATGTTCGCGCCTAAGAAAGACGGAGGGTTACGGATGTGCATAGATTACCGCGCACTGAACGCCGCCACCGTCAAGAATAGATTCCCGGTGCCGAGAGTAGAGGATCTTCTCGATGCAGTGCAGGGCGCTGGAGTCTTCTCAAAGATCGACCTTCGTTCGGGTTACCACCCGATTCGTGTAATTCCAGAGGACCAACACAAGATGGCCTTTCGTACGAAGCAGGGGTTGTACGAGTTTAGGATTCTGCCGTTCGGATTGACCAACGCCCCAGCGACGTTTCAGACGCTCATGAACACCGTCCTCTCCGAGTTCCTAGGTTCGTTCATTGTAGTTTACCTAGACGACATTCTCATATTTTCCAAGACGAAAGAGGAGCACGTGCAGCACTTGCAGAAGGTCTTCGAGGTTTTACGGAGGGAGCAGCTGTACGCTAAGCAGTCGAAGTGCGAATTCTTTCTCCCTGAGGTCGAGTTCCTAGGACACGTCGTATCCGCTAGTGGCATTAGGACCGACCCGAAGAAGATCGCAGCAGTACAGGATTGGGTAGCACCGACCTCAGTCAAGGAGTTGCAGAGCTTTCCTGGATTCGCGAATTACTATCGTCGTTTCATTCAAGGTTATGCATCGATCGCTAGTCCACTCACCGACCTACTTCGGAAGGACGTAGATTTCGATTGGGGTCCAGCG